TTAGGAGTGTGGTTTGTGTTTTTTTTTTCTGTTTAGTCTGTTTTTGGTTCTGTGTTTCTGTGTAGTCTTGTTTATTATTTTATTTATTCACATGTTTTACTTTGCTTAGTATCTGTCTTGTCTTAGTTCTTAGTCCTGTGTTTTAGTTCATGTTTAGTGGTTTTCCTGATCTTTGTACCTTTATTATTTTGGTCTGTGTCTTAGTGTAGTCCTGTCTCTTGTGTGGTCCTGTTTCCGTTCCATACCCTGATTTTTACTTTGGTAGATCTGTCCTTGTGTGTTCCCGTGTACTTTACTTCCTGTTTTATTTTGTAATCTTCTGTGCCTGGTGTTCTTGTTTAACATCCTGTTCCTGTTAGTTCAGTGTATTTTTTGTCTTATTAGTTTGTTACCCCTGCCTGTGTTTTTGTACTTTTGTTTATGGATCTGTGTCTGCTTGTGTTTTTAGTCATTTTGGTTCATTCTTTTTGGTTCTTTATTAGTTTCCTGCCTGGTTGCCTTGCTGTTTCATTGTCTGCTGTGCCTAATTAGCTCCTCATGTCATTCACCTGTGCACTCCCTCCCTGCTCATTTGCCTGTGTATATATTGGCCTCAGTTGTTCTCAGTCTTTGTGATGTCCTTGTCTGAGCGTTCAGCTGTGCCTTGTTCCTAGTTTTAGGATTACACTGTTATCCTTGTATTTACCTCTGTTCTGGATTCAGCTTTGTTTGGACTCTTTGCCTTGTGCTCTATGGAAGCCCGTGCAGTTAAGTTTTTGTTTAAATAAATGTTTTGTTGAACTGAATCCTCCTGCCTGTGTCTGCTCCTGGATCCACCCTAAACCAAACTGGAACATTAATATCAGATTATTATAATGATTTATTTACTTGATATTAGGGCTGACCACTAATAGTCAAAGATTTGATGCTTCTATGGGCGGAGCCTGATTCGACTGTCAATCTCACAGTCGAAGCTTCGCAGTGAAACAAGGATCATGCCATTTTGGCGATATAGGGGTGCTCAACGTCTGATTTTACATAGAACCACCAGTTTTCTCTTACTAACTTAATATACAGCCTATTACAATATACATTTCAATGTTTAATGCTGTGAATAAACATATAAAAAAATAAATAATAATTCCAATAAATGTTTTTAAAGTGCGTGAATAAATCCAAAATTGTAACCCTAACCCTGGGTCGTCACTGCGCATGTGTAAGCATAGCGTGAATCTGTGTAGTGGCAGGAGGAACACTTGCTGAGACGCAGCTCCAGCTTCACTAGTGTTGTGCAGAGTTGTCCGCAGCTTGCAGGACTTTCAGATAATTTATCACCGTTCATGAACCACACAAAGAATATTTTATCGTATTTAAATAGCTGGCTACTTGAAATAGACCCTAGGACGTGCATGCAGTTGTCGGCAGCACAGAATGCACGTAAAACTCTGCACAAGACTGGTGAATGACAGGCGAGAGAGTGAAAAGGGTCTTCAAAAAGCCTCTGTTTAGCTGGAAATTTGCAGTGTAAGTTGAATGAATAGAGACTGCAGCTCTGCAGCTTCCCAAGATTAAAGTGGAGCTACCGTATGTATGTTGTTTGTCTGAATTCTCAGAGTTTAATCAAGTTTAATCCTTAAAACAGAGTTATTATTGTAGGGGATTTTAATATTCATGTGGACGTCGACAATGATAGCCTTAGTACTGGGTTTATTAGATTCAATTGGCTTCTGTTAGTATGTTGTCATAACCCGGCTCAAAGGTCATGACAAATACGGAGAGGACAGGGAGGATTGCCAAAATGCCAAATAAGTGACCACGTTTCTCAACAACAGAGTAGTTACTCTGGTAACGATTACATTTCCTGGAGAAAACACTAACTAGCCTCACCTGGTCCTTCTCCTGGAGCAAAACGGTACCTGCTCCCACCTGGCTGGCATCCACTTGAAGCATAAAAGCTTGATCAAACAAAGAGCTGCTAGAACAGGAGAAAAACACCACAGCAATTTCACAAGATCAAAGGCCAGAGCCAACAACTTTTCCAAATTAAAAAGAGAGATTTTTTTAGTCGTGTGGCTCCGGGCACCCCATCTGACTCATGCGCCAAAACCTCTGAAGTCACACACAACAACCTGATCTGAATCCATTTCAACTACACGCTTGTAGTAAGGTTTAAGGAGATTCACATGATACAGTCGTCTAGCTTTCTTATGTCCTGGCATTTCCACAGTATAGTTCAAATCCGAAATCTTCTCACTCACAGTGTATGGACCTATATACTTAGCCTGAAATGGTGAACCCACAATAATGTAGGCATCAGTGCAAGGACCTGGTCACCTGGACTGAACTTCTGTCTCATGGTTCGTCTGTCATAGAACTTTTTCATTTTACTTTGTGATACACCCAGCTTTAAACAAACGGTCTCTGAACCCATTCACAAAGTCAATCTGATTTTTCGGTGTCTCAGTATCAACAAAGCCACTTTTCAACACAGCCAAAGGACCCCGTACTGTATGCCCAAAAACCAGGTCATTTGGGCTAAAGCCTGTACTTTCCTGTACAGCCTCTCGTGCAGCTAACATTAGCCACGGGAGCCCATCTTCCCAGTCTCTGTCTATCCTCCCCCAGCTTAGCGAACATGTACATTTTCAGCGACATGGCTGGTAGCAACTTGCCTGCTTGAAACACATTCCAAAACAAAACCAGTCACATGGACCTGAAGACCATGGATCCGAGAAAAATGTAGAGGTCCTCAGGTCCATGTGACTGGTTTTGTTTCTGGTTTGCAACCCATTCTTCTTGTTTATTACAGTCATGTGTAATCTCAACTACTGACGTAACTACGCTTGCCGTAGCCTGGTTTATTTGCCTGGACACACCTATATCACATTTTCTTTATTGCATTATTTCAAAATCTCGCTTAAAACTCACTTGACAATTGGATGGAAACATGGCTACTGATGTTACTTGCTGTGGTAAAGCCTGTCCTCCACAGAAAAATTGACCATATAGGTCATTTTAGCCACACAAAATTACGACTCATGTTTACATTTATTGTGGTAGCGACCTCTAGTGGCTGTACAACGCAAACACATGAAAGACCGTCACATATTATAAACAGCCATAAAGTTGTACTCCTGTGGTGGTGGGTTGGATTGGAAGGATTGCAACTTAGCCGCCTTTCACAAGGGAGATCAGCATTCGGTTCCCGTGTGAGATTACCATACAAGATTTATTTGTTTTTTTAAAGTAAAGGAATCGTTTCTTTAAATAAAGTTAAGTAGCGTTAGCTACGTTAGCTTCATAGAGTTAGCGTAATCTAGCTAGCTAACTATATTAGTCTTGATGCCATTGAGAGCCCCCCCCCCCGTAGCCCCTAACCCTAACCCTAACCTTCACAGGGGTGTGTGCCTAAACCTAAAGCAGTGACTGTATGCCTGTCAACCTGTACATCTGCTCTGGCGTTTACCTCCTTTGTATTGCTGTGGTCTCCACATATTTATGTCATGTGACGTAGGTCACGTGATTTCCAAAACGTAGGTCCAATTGAGTCACTCTTATGAGTCATTTTTGGAGGTTGGTTAAAACCAAGTTGTTGTTGTAAGTTGTTGTTTAGGCTGGAGGTTGCTGTGGTAAGAACCTGCAACCTATTCAGCAGTCATTGAATACAGACAGTAAGATAAACAGGTTATCCTGCCAAATGAGTAAATGTATCCTTACATTTCAGACTTCCAGTTGAAATCTTGCAACTTTAATGGTCGAAGTCCAGTCAAAGAATTAACATAGCCTAGCTCCACCTCTCTTCCACAAATAAACACTATACATAAAGGACTCTCATTACTATCCCTTATTGTAATAAATATTTTTCAGGTTCACAAGTTATGGTAGCCACAAGGAGTGTTGCTGTGGGCAACAACACATCCCAGTTTCTTTCGCTCTGTTCTGCAACTCCACTTAAGCAGAAAGCAGCACCTCCTGAAAGCATACAGTATGTTTCCCTTTTTTCAGGAATCTGATATTGGTTCCACCTTTGCAGATTGATGACTCCACCTACCTCCCCAGCATGTCTGAATTGATTGACACTACCAGTGAACAGTAAGTTAACTTTGCTTGTTATAGAACTTTGTACTTGGTGTATGGAATGCTCAAGAGTCTGAAAGGTACCTCTTTGTAAAAGAAGCATTCCTTTCTGTGACCCAGAACTGCTTCTACCTGAACTGTATACACCAGAGAGTGGAGAAGTCAACCACTTCTGGGCAGCTCTCCAGCAGGGAATCTGCACCTGTCAGTTGCTGTCAACGCAGACCTTTGTCTAGACTAATAGGCTGTGTAAAAGCAATGACAGAATCTATAAAATTTTGTTTTACCCCAGTAAAATCTTAGTCTACTCACATTTTCATGTCCAGGGCAAGTGCAACCCACAGTGCTAGAGTGGGACTACATACTAACGCACATGTGTTAGTTTTCCTTTCATTGTCACTCATCTGTATCATCATTAAAATCATTTAAAAATAACAGTAACACTACCCTTGCAAACATATTTAATTTGTGATCAACTTTAACTTCAGAAGACTCACTAATGCCTTTAGGTAGATACAAATTTAATACAAATCAGCATCTCATTTTAGAACAGCCTCTCTACATGTTGCACTAGGCCAGTGGTTCTTAACATGGCGGTTGGGACCCCCTGGGGGCCATCGACCTGGTCCCATGGGAGAAATAGAAAAAAATAACTTAAAAATAACTAGACAGACTACAGTTGTGAATGGAATCACTTTGGGTGGACACTGTAAATATTTTGCACTGTTTAATCCAGTAGGTGGCGTAATGCCAACTGCTATAAAACACCAAAGAAGAATAAGAATTAAAACAATACAATGTTAAACTTGGGAGGGGGCCTCGAAATATTTTCAACCTCAAAAAGGGGTCGGACTACCAGAAAGGTTAAGAACCCCTGCACTAGGCAACAGCATGTTACAGTAAACTACATACATAATAGAAGTGTACAAGTCAAAGAACACACGTCAGGTGTCACTATTTTATTTTCTGAACATGTTGTAGGTTACTGTCCTTTATCAGCACACATGTTGTGGAAGAACCTCCATGTACAAATTATCATTATTTAGCCACACTAATAATTCAGTTTGATCAATTAGTGTTTGCACGCTGATGATTATGTGTTAATTCTGTTGTAATTAAGTTTTGTTTACACAAACTGGTTGATTATGCTTTTGAATTTAAAACAGTTTTACTTTCTTATGACTACAAAATAATTATCTAATGATCTTCAACTACAATTAACACGATTTGTCAAATGAGTGAAAATGCCAAACCTGAGCTGCTCAGAGTTTTCCAATTGAATTTGGTTATATAGGCATTTATGTATAAGTTTACTTTTCATACATTTCAGGAAATCATCAAAACTGAACATATTTAGTTTATCAAAAACAAAGTTGGGAGATCTTATCAGCTTCCTAGCAGGATACAGATATTAACTGGCTTCATTATTAGAGAAGTTGCTTGTGATAACACAATATGTTCAACATGTAAAGATCCCGGAATGCATTCCTCTCTGAGGACCACATTGGGTGTTCTGTCTTCAGTAGCTTCTGGGACAGCAGTGGGCACTCTGCCTTATGAGACACTTTCATACCATTCCTTCATACCACTGTGGGACATCACAGATGCTACATCCACATCTTCCTATGTTTTTTAAGAATCGAATCCTGACTGCTGTGTCTTGTGCCTGAGGAAAGGGGATCCTGTTGCTGGGTCAGGACTCTGACTGGTCTAATTGTTGAATTTCAGATATATGGCACTTGTGGTTAGACAGTGGCTGGATCTTGGTCTTTGATGGGTCTGACAGCTCCTGTGGTTCAGTCCTAGACTCTGACAGAAGTGGTGGTTGTCCTGGCTGAAGCTGGGAATCTGGCAGTTCTAGCTGTTGCTGTGTTTGGATGTTGGACTCTGATGAGACTTGTGGTTGTATTTTAGACTCTGATGTATCAGATGTTTGCTGAGACTGGCTCTGGTTCCCCGATGAGTCTTGTGGTTGGTTTGATGGGATCCTGAACTCTGTTGGCCGGCTATATGAATCTAGATGCAACTGTCTCTGCAGCTCCTCGGCACTGTGGGCTAACATGATGCTCACCTTCCTCTGGTGGGCCAGGGCTTCGTCCTTGTCATTCAGCTACAGCAGGAAACACATCATCAATAATTAAGGAGAGGATCTCCTCGGATTTGGAAAATCTATTTAATGTTTTTTATAGGGGGAATCTCTTGAATCTCTAGCTGTTTTACACTGTTTCTAAAGTGTGTTCATGAAACGAATATAATTGATTGTGCTTTTGTATTGAAGGCACCACAAATCCAGCTACTATCCATACAACCAATGGGATGGCGTGACATTGCAGGGTCCCTGGAACTAGTCCCCTAAGTAGCAGTTCTGTGCCAGCGTTATCATGGCTACCGGAAACAGGTATGCTGGAAGCTGCAGTGTTGTTGCCCGGTACCTCCTCCTTAAAATCCGAAAGGACTCACTATCGATGTTATTATACTAACGTTACATTGTGAATAGGGATGAAACGGTTACCTGTATAATGATAAACCACGGTAAAATTCCTGAAGGTTAGTATTACACTACAAATTTCAATTCTCATTAGGGCAGGGCAGTATAACGAGGTATACCTGCAAGCGTGCGTCATACACGCTTTGGAAAAGCTGTGTCTATTGTAGCAAAACGGCGATTTTGCGTGTATATGATACGCTGCAGCTTGCAATAGCGTTGCAACACAAAGGAGGCTAACCCTATCTGCTAGTACATCGCCCATGAGCTGTCAACTCCTTAAACAAAAACATTGCAAGCTAGCTAGCTAGTTCACCCCGGGGCATCACATACACACGCGGCCTGGATGCGTCTCATACACACGTACCTGGGGGCGTCTACTATACACGCAAAATCGCCGTTTTGCGTACAATAGACACAGCTTTTCCAAAGCGTGTATATGTGACACCTGAGCATGAGAACAGACTCCTTTAAAGACCTGGCTTGTAAAAAGTAAAACAACGGTTCAGTCAGTGTTTCCTGTATACACTTTACTTCGGCGGGCCGCCCATGTATATTTGGTGCCACATTGTAGCATTTTCCAGAAAAGTTAGAAGAGTTATTACATTACAAGTCGCGACTTTGGTGGATATTTTATAAGAGCGGACCAGGTAAAGCTACAGTGAACACACCAGTGCAGATGTCATTCGTTAGCTATCACATTGGTTTTGTTCTGATAGACTAAGTCATCAACACGCCGCCTCAATTTGCGGCGCAACTGCTGCTGTGAACGGAGTCGTGGGTGGAAGTTATGGATTTTTTCAGTAACTTTATATAACGCAGCCTACTTCTGATGGAGAAAGTCACCAGAGCAGACCCACAGGGAGAGAGAGATGGATAGAAGGCGAGCACACTGACGTGTTCGCGTTAGACGTTAGATCTGTGAGTGTGGGCAAATAAGAAACTGAAGGGAAAGGAGACAGATTCAATTAGTGAGACTTAAATAAGGTAGATAAAAAGTATAATTAAAACAGCGACTCCACCACGCCAAGCCCACTTACCCGAAAAAAACGTTATAGATAACGTGTTTGATTACCGTGATTTGAAAAGCTCACGGTAAATATTGTCAAGCATCAACCAAATTTAGCTAGTCTCCCAGACGCAGGAGCGCATGCGTAGCATGATTTTTCAGCCTAGTCTTCAGGGGACTACGTTTAAAGTGTGGTTGTATTTTGTTTTTTTATAGGTTATAAGTGTGAGGGAACCTTGAATCGCTGTGAAAGGGGGCAACACGTCATACTACAACCCACTAACTTTACTTTATGGCGAATGCGAGGTCAGTTAACTTTTACTGATAAAAACACAACACATTGTTATGCTGCTGTATGCGTTGGGTCTGCAGACTTCATTCACTCATTAAAGTCACCCATCCAAAATATTTAGTTCATTTAAAATCTTGCAGTCGTAAAATCTGGGGGTGGTGATGGCGTAGTGAATAAGACACATGCCTTTGGTGCGAGAGACCACCAATGTGTTCCTGACAAGATGCTTAACCCCTAGTTGCTCCAGAGGCTCTGACATAAACAGCAATTGTAAGTTGCTAAAGAGTCGGCTAAATGTAATGTGAAATGAATAAATGTTGGAAGAATTTTCAGGAGAAAGTACAAGTCTCCTCTGTGTTTATGTCAAATGTTGGGCTCATTGCAATTACCATCACTGTCTTCTTAAGACTAATTTGCATTTATGTAAATTATGCATGGGGTCAATGTTATAACATTTATTTTAATGCATATTTGATATGGTTTTCATAGTTTACATAAGATATATATTATCATTTTAATGTTTATGCAAACAAAAAGTGCTGCAATTAGATTTTTTGTTTTCAATATGAAACTTGGTTTCTGTGTGTGTAACAGCACTTTTGGGCACATTTAAACAACACTGTGATAATATTGATAACGATGATTGAACAATTCCATGTTGAAATCATAGAAATAATGCTCTCTGAGAGCTCCTACACACATACAAAGAGCAAAGTCAGCGGAGCAGAGAGGTCGTGGTGAAGAAGTGAACCAGGTGAAGCAAGATAACTCCAAACTACCTGAGTTGACTACAATTGTCATTGTTTACCTTAAGGAAGTGCAATAAAACCTTTGCGGGGAAAAACCCCAATACTTAATGTAGAAAGCGATATTTTAATTTGCTCTGTCCACAGCATGCAAGCTTGGCTAATAGTGGATGACTTACTCACTACTTTACGCTGTTATACAAGCTGTACGCTCACTACTTTACACTGTTATACAAGCTGTACGCTCACTACTTACGCTGTTATACAAGCTGTACGCTCACTACTTTACACTGTTATACAAGCTGTACGCTCACTACGTGTACACTCACTACTTTACACTGTTATACAAGCTGTACGCTCACTACTTTACGCTGTTATAAAAGCTGTACGCTCACTACTTTACACTGTTATACAAGCTGTACGCTCACTACGTGTACACTCACTACTTTACACTGTTATACGAGCTGTACGCTCACTACTTTACACTGTTATACAAGCTGTACGCTCACTACTTTACGCTGTACGCTCACTACTTTACACTGTTATATGAGCTGTACGCTCACTACTTTACACTGTTATACAAGCTGTACGCTCACTACTTTACACTGTTATACGAGCTGTACGCTCACTACTTTACACTGTTATACGAGCTGTACGCTCACTACTTTACACTGTTATACAAGCTGTACGCTCACTACGTGTACACTCACTACTTTACACTGTTATACGAGCTGTACGCTCACTACTTTACACTGTTATACAAGCTGTACGCTCACTACTTTACGCTGTACGCTCACTACTTTACACTGTTATACGAGCTGTACGCTCACTACTTTACACTGTTATACAAGCTGTATGCTCACTACTTTACACTGTTATACGAGCTGTACGCTCACTACTTTACACTGTTATACGAGCTGTACGCTCACTACTTTACACTGTTATACAAGCTGTACGCTCACTACGTGTACACTCACTACTTTACACTGTTATACGAGCTGTACGCTCACTACTTTACACTGTTATACAAGCTGTACGCTCACTACTTTACACTGTTATACAAGCTGTACGCTCACTACGTGTACGCTCACTACTTTACACTGTTATACAAGCTGTACGCTCACTACTTTACGCTGTTATACAAGCTGTACACTCACTACTTTACACTGTTATAAAAGCTGTACGCTCACTACTTTACACTGTTATACAAGCTGTACGCTCACTACTTTACACTGTTATACAAGCTGTACGCTCACTACGTGTACGCTCACTACGTGTACGCTCACTACGTGTACGCTCACTACGTGTACGCTCACTACGTGTACGCTCACTACTTTACACTGTTATACAAGCTGTACGCTCACTACTTTACGCTGTTATACAAGCTGTACGCTCACTACTTTACACTCACTACTTTACACTGTTATACGAGCTGTACGCTCACTACTTTACACTGTTATACAAGCTGTACACTCACTACTTTACGCTGTTATGTACGCTCACTACTTTACGCTCACTACTTTACACTGTTATACAAGCTGTACACTCACTACTTTACGCTGTTATACAAGCTGTACGCTCACTACTTTACGTTGTTATACAAGCTGTACACTCACTACTTTACGCTGTTATAAAAGCTGTACGCTCACTACTTTACACTGTTATAAAAGCTGTACGCTCACTACTTTACGCTGTTATACAAGCTGTACGCTCACTACTTTACACTGTTATACAAGCTGTACGCTCACTACGTGTACGCTCACTACGTGTACGCTCACTACGTGTACGCTCACTACGTGTACGCTCACTACTTTACACTGTTATACAAGCTGTACGCTCACTACTTTACGCTGTTATACAAGCTGTACGCTCACTACTTTATGCTGTTATACAAGCTGTACGCTCACTACTTTACGCTGTTATACAAGCTGTACGCTCACTACAGGTACACTCACTACTTTACGCTGTTATACAAGCTGTACGCTCACTACTTTACACTGTTACACAACCTGTACACTCACTACTTTACGCTGTTGTACAAGCTGTACGCTCACTACTTTACACTGTTATACAAGCTGTACTCTCACTACTTTACGCTGTTATGTACGCTCACTACGTGTACGCTCACTACTTTACACTGTTATACAAGCTGTACGCTCACTACTTTACGCTGTTATACAAGCTGTACGCTCACTACTTTACGTTGTTATACAAGCTGTACACTCACTACTTTACGCTGTTATAAAAGCTGTACGCTCACTACTTTACACTGTTATAAAAGCTGTACGCTCACTACTTTACGCTGTTATACAAGCTGTACGCTCACTACTTTACACTGTTATACAAGCTGTACGCTCACTACGTGTACGCTCACTACGTGTACGCTCACTACGTGTACGCTCACTACGTGTACGCTCACTACGTGTACGCTCACTACGTGTACGCTCACTACTTTACACTGTTATACAAGCTGTACGCTCACTACTTTACGCTGTTATACAAGCTGTACGCTCACTACTTTATGCTGTTATACAAGCTGTACGCTCACTACTTTACACTGTTATACAAGCCGTACGCTCACTACAGGTACACTCACTACTTTACGCTGTTATACAAGCTGTACGCTCACTACTTTACACTGTTACACAACCTGTACACTCACTACTTTACGCTGTTGTACAAGCTGTACGCTCACTATGTGTACACTCACTACTTTACGCTGTTATACAAGCTGTACACTCACTACTTTACACTGTTATACAAGCTGTACGCTCACTACTTTACACTGTTATACAAGCTGTACGCTCACTACTTTACACTGTTATACGAGCTGTACGCTCACTACTTTACACTGTTATACAAGCTGTACGCTCACTACGTGTACACTCACTACTTTACACTGTTATGGTATATCACAAATTAATAAATAACTCTTCACAAAAATACAGATAATTCAGATAGCAATACTGACAACCACAAGCAGGCGTCAGTACGCTTCCATGTGCTTGTCGGTTGTTTAACAGCATCTGAAATTTTTTTTCCAAAAAGAGCAGTGTTGTCCAGGTGTGCAGTGCGACAGTAAGCTTCAAGTGTGGTGATTCAGAAAGGCCGAAGCACTTCTGACTTAGACAGACAACATGTGGTATGAACTAGTTTGTTTGAAGCAGGGAAGGGGAGGACGTTGCATTTTTTTCTAGTTCATGGAGATAGCACAATGAAAAGAATTAAATTGCAGAGGTTCAATATTGTTGAAGGAGATACTAACCAAGTCCAGCAGCCTGTAGAGAGTCTCTAAAAGATCATCAGGCATCTTTACCTCCAAACTAGAAGGCAGTAATCCTCTCAACCTCTGGCTTACACTGATAAGAGGACTCCTGTTAGCACCTGGAAGGAAAAGACATTCGAAAGGTTCCAATATGTGTGAGGCACTGGAATCAAGGATCATTCATAGCTTCATGGGGACATCAGTGACTGGTTCAACAAAATAACAGTAAATCCCTCGCTTTGACAGACACAGTCTGGACCTGTTTGAGAAACACCCCAATCCAGGAATCTTTTAGTGATTTCTGTGATTGATTCACATTTGGGGGCTAAAGAAATTGATTTTCTGTACCCCAGAATTAATGAACAAATTCCATTTGATTTTAACAACTAGAGATCCAAGTGTGTGTCCTATGGCAGACTTGCCTTCAGCCTTGCAGTGATGAGATTTCAGGATGTTGGCCTCAGCCAACAGCAGGAAGTGCTCGTTTCGTTTCCTCAGCTGTTGTTCAAAGGCGATGCGAAAAGCATCTGCAACCATCACCGCCTCCTCTCTCCTCAAACGCTGAGCATCCAGCTGGAAAACACACACACACACACACAGACACACACACACACACACTTACTTTACAATGTCTTAACATGAATTTACACAGCCATGCCAAAGCTAAAAATTGAACAAATACATATATGCTCCGTACTTGTAGAGTGCCTTTCTAGTCTTTTTGACCACTCAAAGCACTTTTACACTACATCCACATTCACACACTGAGCCTAAGTGCTCAAATGGAAACTAACATTCACACATTGGCGGAACAGCCGCCAGGGGCAAATCGGGGTTCAGTATCTTGCTCAAGGACACTTCGACACGCAGCCAGGGATCGAACCGCCGACCTTCCGATTAACGGCCAACCCGCTCTACCTCCTGAGCCACAGCCACTGTATGCTATATATCTCTATATTATATATATATACGTACTGTATTTCTTTTGAATTTTAACAGTCTGAGTCTGCAATTTTGCAAACTCATGAGGGAGTTACCAAAGGAAGATTATAAAAGGGTAACAGTGGTGTTTTCCAACCTGAACGACCAACCAACCTAATCCATTTGCGCCACATAAAAGTATGTGCACGTAGACATTTTTATAAAGAGTAAGATTTATTGTTATATTTTTATATTTTATATTGCTCTTGTCAAAGTCACCAGACTCCCTAAACAAAAATAGTAATTTGTCTATGCTGTCTACCGCTGCCTCGACTGGCTAGTTTGTGCTATTGTCTGTTGACTATGACCTTAACACTAATGCCTAGAACAGAATTAGATTAGGGCCACATGTGAAACACTTATCTGAGTTCTGAGATTAAAGTCAGAATTCTGGTGAAGAAGAGCAGGTCAGAAAACAACAAGGACTGCTGTAAGGGTTGTGAGCAAAACTAGGAAAAAAGTGGAGCTTAGCACAGGTGACGTGGTTAGATGTAGTTTACCTCCTGTTGTAGCTGGATAAGCTGCTTCCTGCTGGCAGCAGCAGTCTGACTGCATGAACAAGCCTCAGCAACACCAAGACACCGGCAGGCCCCTAACACTGCCAGCTGGAAAACAAAAACTTCATAAGAAAATATCTAAAAGAATCTAGTCTTCCTTAACCCGTGGCCAAACCTCCCAACACATTAGTGAAAAATGAATGGTTACATCCAACTAAAATGGTCTTTACCAGATCTCTTGGTCCTGTCTTGTAGAGAGAGGGGTTACAACCTAGTTTTAAAGGTTTTATTATTTCAGTTTATATACATGGGATATTTTCCTAAATACATTTTGTGTGTGGTCAAAATACTAAAAATGAATTACTACCAAATACACAGACAATACAGAGTGGAAGAAATTAGGGGGCTCAATAGAGTACAGCTTTTTTTGGCCCTGTGGCCCCCTGGCGGGTCGCTCTGGGTATGTGAATGTATCCAGCTAAATGTGCTGATGACAGTTACTCTGAAAAGAAGATGCTTAGTGCTTTGGACATTACACAGTGTGTGAGGTAAGTGTATAAACATCCTCTTTGGTACTCTCACCTCCAGAACACTTGCATCCCTCTCTGGGCTGTATTGAGGTTTGGTTCCTTGGTAAGCTCTCTGCTCCTTTACATTCAACATGGAGAGAAGCTCCAAGCACTGCCGACTTAGAGCTGCAAACACACACACACACACACACACATTATTCCCGTGATGATGACTAAATCAATTCCATTTTCAGATAAAGACAACGAGATACGTCTGAAAGCTCTGGGGTTTAGACTGTTTAGTCAAGATGCCAACTTTGACTGGCTTGGAGTCACACGCTGAAGGTTAGACACAACATGAAGTTTGGTGAGTCAACTCCACACACCGCCGTCCAGACAGACCCACTTCACTTCACAGATGGAGATAATATGTGCAGACATGTCTAGGTCACCTCAAAACTGATTCTAAATTATTTAGCATTACCAGAGTTTTCTGCTCGGAGCTGCTGGATGTCACGCTCTCTTTCCTCCAGGTTGTCAGTCAGAGTCTTGTTCTCACTCAAAATTCTGATTACAACAACAACATTACAGTTACGACACATACCAACGAAAATACCACAGACTTGAGTGTATGTGGAGTGAATCTGACCGGTTGTATTTCTCCTCCCACGCCTGCTGAGACTTCTTCATCTGGACCTGGCTGAGGCTGATTTCCCACTGCAAGCTGTTCACCTCCTGCAAGAGATGGAAGCAACAGATCATGATTAGTGTATTCTAATTAGCTTCATAACTGCTTTAAAAGCCATTAATCACACAACACCAAGCCACATGAATGTAGTTTTACATATACTGTACATAATAATGTTATAAGCCCCAGTGTAAAACCCCATGATAAAATATTTTCATGGCCGTATACACTATGTTCTTCCTTCCCGGCCCCTGGCCTCAAACATGGCTTAATTAATCCAGACTAACATTATGTTATCCAGCTGAAGGTATCCTCTTTTTCATGCAGCTAACTTGGATCTTCACAAGGAAACAGAGAACTAAACTCTTCCATATAAGTACTGTGTACATATATGGAAGAGTTTAGTAATCAAACTTGCTTAAATAAATTACCCATAATTTATCAAACTCATGAGTCAAGTTTAATTCAAACGGCTGTATGTGTCCACTGTATATATGACTCAAGTAAATTTCTAAATGTCATATTAAATGACGAAACACCTTACAGATCACATACTGTTAGATACATTTTGGTTCTACTCAGAGGATCCCTAACTTTTTCTAAATTGTATGTCTTTGCCTACTTTATCAACAGGTACACTTCAAGAGCTGAAACATTTCTCCTTAATTCACACATCTCATCTAAAATCAGTCAGAAGTAAGTGTAAACAAGCAAATATCTTTTTTATTGCACCACTTCCTGTGGCATTACACGTGTGACTACTTTTGTCTGTGTTAGCTCCTGACTGCTGAGAGGAAACTTGCTGTGGAATGTTAAGGCAAACATACCAAGCCCTTATTTGAGCAGCCTAACACGTACCTTCTCCAGAGCCTTGGCCCTCTCCTCACTTTTCTGCAGCAGACTTTTAGTGTGAGTCGTGGCTTTGTCGAGAATGGCCTGAGTTAAGAAGAGCAGTTTTTAGTTATTGGCTGAACAAAGCCATGACACTGCAGGGTTTAATCTCAATATTCATCACAGAAGCGAGTTGCTTCCTGCAACTGCTCCAAGGTGTTTCAAGCATAAGGACGATCAGTCTTCCTTTGCTTTTGTCACAGTATAATGGTCACATACTGTATAATCAGTCAATGCAATCGTATAGAGTTGTGACTCTTCTTGGACTGCATGGGTTGGAAGCCAAATGATGTGTAGCAACTACAAGCAGATAAACCAGACTTGTTCCTAAGGTGAAGGGGATTATAGTGCTCTCATCTTTCATTAACTAATGTAACCTCAGGTCCCTTTAATATCTGTAGAGGCAGCCATTTGTTGTAGTTGGACCACCTTTTCTAAATGTGGGCAGCAGGAAGCTTTCTGACTAGTATCATGAGCTGACTTCTTGATCCACGACTAAGTTCAGCCTCAGACTGTTCACAGAACTCAAGGAATAACAGTGATGTCATTTTATTTTTAAGGTTCTTTTCATCAATCATCCAGGGGACTTTACTGAGCGATTACAACATCCTTCATCAAAGTTTTGCATTAACAACGGATACTTTTTTGTTTCCAGAATAAACTAAGCGTGGTGGCTGATAATGATGGTCAAAAGCTGTATGCTTCCAAAATACACACATTTATGTATTGTCTCAATCACTTTCATTTTCGAGGATCCTTTCCATAATGTTGCAGACACTGATAACAAGTCAGTGGCAAAAACAGCACTTTACTGGGCGTACTTTGATGGGGTGCAAGGACGCCTGCTAAGCAGCATTCCTGATGGATACTCGCTTCATCTGCTGTCTGGGTGCTCTAGTGATTGTGACTGACCTACAGAACAGTGAGTTGTAAAATGCAGTACATCAGTGCATACCTTCCCCTGTAAGATTTTCAGAGCTTCATATTTGCCTTCAAGATAACGATGTGCCACATCCAGTTCACAGCACAACACGTCTATAACCTGTCAACACAGCGGAACCATCAGTTACACTTTGCCAGGCTGGAGTCAAAGTTATATCAATCAAAGCGTTCTGTCTTCACTGTTCCTACCTCAGTTGCTTCCTGTAGTCTGTCTTTCAGCTCATCTTTGGACAGGTCAACCAGAGAGTCTGCTGATTCACAAAAAGTATACTCATGCAATAAAGGTCATAGAAAATGTTTGTGTGTTTTCTTGTAGTTTTGTATGTGAAGAAAACTTTAAATATTCAGAGCAAGGACACATTTGCAAAGTGACATCTTCAAAAAGCTTCAAAAAGCTGTTATGGGGTCAGCATGTGGGTTTGAGGTAAAACATACTATTGGAACAAGTTATTTGTTCCCTCCTCCATTATTGTGTATGTGGTGTGTTGGCCCAGCACTGATACATTTTCAGATATGCATAGACTGATGAATTAGTTGATCTTAATTGTGTGAGAGGCTGAAAATGTTGACATTATGATCCTTATGCAAGATTCCCAATATTTTTCAATTAGACTTTCTTGCTAAACCAGTTTATGCACGCAAGGTATTTGTTAGGGTTCTGTGTTCTGTATTTTTCCTGTTTACTCTTGTTCATTTACTCCCTGCATCTGTGTTCTATTCTGTGTTCTCATGTAGGTTGTATTCTGTTACTTTTGTCCTGGTCTGCTGCTGCTTGCTGCCTGTTATATTTTGTAATCATCTGTTTCTGGTGTCAGTGTCTAGTTTTGCTTCCTGTTGTCCTGATTACTGGATGTGCAAGGAGGTAAGCCACAGTTGAAACAGTGAAGCCGTCCAAGGCCCAAAAATGACGTCAAAACCCTGTGACATCCCGTCGCACATGAGAGATGTAACCGTATTGCTTAGATTGTAAGCTCTCTGTGAATCTAAAAAACTTTTCGGCCACCAGTGACGCTGCGTTGGTGTTTGGCAGGTGGGCTGATTAAACAGTGACGGTCTGACTCAGACAAACACACTGAGCCAAGAGACTTTTTGTTGGCGCAGCACAGTGCAGCTATGCAGCTACGCAGCTACCAGGATTACAGTGTTTCTGCTGTTGTTCTACATCATTAAACCACACTTATGCTGCGCGATCAGAAGAAGAAGAAGAAGAAGAAATTCAATGTTTTGTGTGTAACATACTGTCTGTGTTGATGTGTCTCACCTCCACTCCTTCCTTGCATGTAAGCTTGAATATTTCTGTCTTTGGGCCCTGCTACCTGTTTCAGCCTGAGCACACGGCAATCTCTGACAGTACTTGTAATGTGGCCATTAAAACCTCAGCATTAAAGTTACTCTTATTTACATTTTTGTGCAAAAGACTTTGATGATGCTCTTGCAACAACGTAAATCCCATCTTGACGGCAACACAGAACGTTCCGTCAGCCAAACACTATGACAGTATAAAAACGCCATGGTTATGATTTGTACGTTGGAGATGTGGCTGGACAATAAAAGAATAACAATAATTATCACGATATTTTTTTTTTCAATAACAATATAACAAATGTTCAATAAATATTCAATAAATGTTGGATTTTATTCACTTGAAACATACACAAATTAGGAATTATTTTTAATTAAGATGTTCATTTTGTTGAGGAAAAAGGACTGGAAAAAGCTTCTACTTGTGTTTTTTACTTATATTTACTCGTGTATTTATTGACAAAGATTTTATCATAATTGTTTTGAATGTTGTACCTCAGATTTGTGAAGTTATCTACTGTTTGACCTCAAGTGTTGCCCATAAATTCAATTCAATTCAATTCAATTAAAGAAGAGTTTAAACCACAATTAACCATCAGGTTTCTTCAACTAACTCACTCAGAAGCAAAAATCACCCTTTAAACTCGAAAGAAAAAACAATTTGATACTTATCGTGATAATTATCGATATCGAAAGATATGAAACTTTTTATCATGATAACATTTTTGGCCATATCGTCCAGCCCTAGTTGGAGATAACACAACATAAAACATAACATAAAACAGATACGTGCAATCAGAAAAAGAATTTATGAGCAGTGTGCGAGTGACGTTTAAGACAACAACCTACCCTAACCCCGCTCCCCGCCCCACCGCTAATCGTTCAAACATAGTTGGACTGGCCACCGGAGCACCGTGAGAAATGCCGGTGTGTGTCAGTCTGTGACAGAGAGATGTGGTTGGCTGCTGAAGCAGTCAGACAGAAGAAAACAGGGAGAACATAAGGAAGGTTTGGGTTTGGCTCGCTGGTCATTTAACGTTAGCCGAATCGCTGCCTTTTGTTGTTCAACATGTTCCACTTTTCATAAAGCCGAAGTGCCTGTCAGTGTCACTTTTCGTTAACCTACCAATGTAGAGGCATTTTCTTGCACAAGGATTTAATGAATAAAATAAACAACCCACAGGATTTAAACAGGTGGTTCTGCTCATTTTCAGGTTCTTATTTAGGGGTTGTACCAGAACAGCTTTACATGGTTTCATTTTCAAAAAACACCATATTTTTGTCATACTGCACATTGCTACAGCTCCTCTTTTCACCCTGTGCTGAAGGCTTCGTTTTAGCTATGGAGTGATGCATCTTGTCTCTAAATGATCTTTGTTGGGAGTTGCACATGCTCAGTTCCTAGTTAAGGACTACTAGCAAGTCAGAAGCAGAGAACGGCAGGTCAGCGAGAAGCCGGTAAACAGCTTGGGTTCAGCTGTACTCCATGTAGTCCATGTTGCCGAGCTGGTCGGCAACATGGACTGGAGCGAGAGTTTCAGAGCGGTGAGTTATTAATCTGTAACAAAAGTATCTTTCATCCATAAAGTTTTAACTGAGCTCTGTCTCTACATCACAGGAACAACTTCCTGTGCACTGACTGCCTGGAGGGTAGCTAGTGTTTGGAAGGGAGAGGAGAGCTGTGTGCTGCAGCTCATTGTGTTTCCACCGCTGTTTTTGAGGGCGTGTCGGACTAGCCGCTCAGCGAACATTATGACATGTATTTTCATTGTGACGTCACAAGAAAAGGAAGTAAAGGCTGGACTACAAACGAGCTGTTTTCAGTTCAGAGCAGTGTTTTCTGTGGGAGATGGGAACTCCCTTTGGCATTTTTCACTTTGCAAACCTGTTACATGCACAAAAAATACACATAACTCTCTATATATAATATTTCCCTGCTACTGTTTTCGGAAAGAATGATTAAAAAATGTCTAAATAGGTTATATTCCAAAAAAAAAAAAAAAATTAATTAAAAAGCGGACACATGAGATAAAGCTGTTTTCGCGCACACGCACGCACGCACACACACACACACACACACACACACAGGATTTGCTGTTTGATTGGGGACAATGCATGTACGGCAACAATGTCTTTATATGAATGTTTTATTATATTATTGTAACTGCCTGTTTTAACATCCTACTGTTGCAATAACCTACATTTATTGTGATTTGTCCCCATAAATAATTGCACATGCATTTGAATATATACGATACATAATTGTTTTTAATGTTGATTCAATTTGTAATATTTTCCTATTAAATTGTTGCAATTTTATTCACCACCACATGATTACACACTCTGATGATAAAATTGTAAAACACAGAATTCAGGAAAATTAAACAGAATCTGGTAAACAATTTTAACAGATTCCAAAGGGCCCTATCCATGGTCTCATCGCCCAATATGTGAATGTAGCATAACTGTAGCTCCATCAGCAGGTCGGAGCTTTTGGAAGAGGAATAGAGAAGGTGTTGAATCGGAACAGGCTAAAATAAATGCGTTGTGACACCACGGATCCGTAACACACCCACTCCGCATCACTACTAGTTTCGACCACCAGGTTGTGGATAGAGCCTCTGCAGTGGACAGATGTAGATTTAGCCAGAACCAGGAAGTCGCTGTGCCAATATTTGCTCCTTCTAGCCGCCTCCTCCGTAGAGCTGCACGCTCCCCTTGTTTAAATCTGTTTAGTTATTGTTATAAATATTGTTTATCGTTTCACTTTGTTCAAGTGGAGAAATACACACTTAAAAATGTCAGTATTCTTGATAATCAAGCAAGGTGACTCATAGTACCATCTGTTCTATTATAATCGAATCGCAATCTAAAATCGCAATGTTGTCCACAATAATCGCAATAGGACTTTTCCTCCAGTCGTGCAGCCCTACTCCCAGTCTTACTGAACTTACCTCAAACCTTACCTTGCCCAAACTGCACAGATAACAATCTGTGCAGTTTGGACTAGAGTCAGTTTAAAGGCTTATTTTCTAAAGAAATACAATCAATATAATTTCCTGGTTTAAGACCAAAATACTAAATTCTACGGCTTCATAGTATCGTGGACTCTCCATTAACAAATTTATGTTATGATTTATGTGAAACGAAAGACAATCCAAGGATTGTTAGCTCCTTTGTTACAGTAAAGGGCCAGTTCACATTCTTACCAGAACATGGCAGCTTCCAGCGGGCTCTCTGCTGCGTCTCTGCCGTCTTCAGTCCAGGGATCCAGGCTGCCTCTCCTGCCTGGCTGCTGCGCATCTCTGCTCTGGGCAGCGGGGTCTCTGTGATGCCAGCGAAGCTTGGGCTTTTCTTCCTCGTACAGCTCGGTGCTGCTCTGACTCCCATTCCGTCACCCAGATCTCCATCCACCATGTCATCATCCAGGCTGCAGGCCGCACTGACCTCCTGCATCTGCACCAGGTCGAACCTTACGTTACATTCAACACAGTATGGATCTCTTCAACCTAAATATTCTTTTTTACCTCTAGTGCTACTGCATCCCATAAGATGATATAAATGATCAACTGTCAGCTATTTGAAACAATAAGACACCATTTGCACCCAGACACCTGGACCTTAAATATTACCGGGTGTATTGGGCCAGTGTGGACAGGACTGCTTTCTCATACTGAATACAAACATGTTTTTGTATCAATGGAATGAAATTCCTTGTCTTTATTGTCCATAAGTCCCACCTTATGCTTTACATGGCACAAAATCTAAATCAATCACAGCACTTTTACAATTAAAAACTCCATTTTGTTTTCAGCGTCCGCTCCACATTTGGATATATCTCATAATGTAGCTAAAACAACAACAAAGACAAAGCCTTAAAAAAGAACCCACCATATTTTGTATTAATTACAGAAACAAAACAGACATTCCTGTCTGGTCATTTGATCTATAAACAGTATCTTTATGCTCTGGGACACTGTTACTTAACACCAACAAGAACTAACTTATTGCTATGTTCCAGGTTATGACTACCTGCTTAGATGCCATTTCTCCTTGGAAGCCCGCGTGTTCTGTTAACCACAGTTATTTTTTACCATGTGGTATGAGGTCAGAAGTTGGGAAGAGAGCATCTCATTCAAATTTCCAAGTGAAATATGTTCATAGATTAGGTCATGATATTGTGTCCCCAAACTTCATTCTGTATGAAACTACAGAACAGTACTTGAAGCAGTCATGTGGATGATATGTTTTCACTGCAGATTTCAAATCTTAAAACCAGATTACATATTTGAATACAAAATGTTTGTAAAAAGTCTGACTGACTGTAATGTGTCTATCACATTGTTCATGTTATACTAGGCTACAGTATAGAGGTATTATTTTGTATTCCAATCTATGCCCCAAGCCAGTGTTTTCCAACCTGTTTGGTTGTGAACTCTTTAAAGAGGATACATGTCTATACATTTAGTCTACACAACCAAACCCTTTTTCTCACTCAGGTTGCTTTTTATATGACATAAAGCTTCAGTGGGACAGGTAAATGCACTGATTATTAATTTGCAGTGGTGGAAGACATACACAAATCCTGTCCTTGAGCAAAAGCAAATATTACTCCACTAAACGTCTTCTATTTAAATTCTACTTGCGTCAAAATACAAAAGTACCCGCTTTTAAAAATACTTAAGCATCAAAAGTAAAAAGTAGTTAGTATGGTTGTGTTTGTCAAACAGAATTTAAAATACAGCAAAGTCTCCTATTAAACAGTGACATTCATTAGAAACAGGCTTCAGTACTAATTCAACTTACTCAGTTATATGTGTGTGTGTGTCTGATTCAGATCCTTTAAGTAAAAGTACTAATACACTGTAAAAATAATCCAGTAAAAGTCCTGCATTATTAATATAGTAAAAGTATGTTAGTATGATCTGAAAATGTAAGTATTAAAAGGACTCGTTGCAGAAAGATAATTGTCCTGTGACTGTTAAACTATTAAATATTAGATTGTTCTTGCATTCATGTAAAAGCAGGATTTTACAGTGCAACTACTGATTATTTTCATTATGGATTATTTTCTCCATTAATTGATTTTTGAAATTATGAAAATAGTGAGAAAGTGACACCTAACCAACAGTACAAAGTTCAAATAAATTAAAATACCTAAAAGGAAGGAAAAGCAGCAAATCTTCACATTTGTAAAGCTGAAACCATCAACTGTTTACAGGAGACATGTCTTAAACCTTAAAAGTTGTTACCATGTCAATGTCAAGCTGTAGTTTCATTTATAACAAAACATATTTTATTGAGTCTTCATATATTTTGTGTGTAAAAATAATGTCCTTGGAAACTAGTAACTAAAGCTGTCAGATAAATGTAGTAAAGCAAAAAGTACAATAACTCCCTCTGAGATGTGGTGGAGCAGAAAATGGCATGAAAAGAAAATACTCAAAGTAAAAGTAGGCTACTTCAAATTTGTACTAAATTACAGTAGGCTATTTGAGCAAATGAAGCCTACTTACAGTAATTATCTTGCCATATCCTATCAAAACGTCTTATTCACAGAGTGATGTTGATTCCAGATATGATTTATCACCCAGCTCTGTGTTCCAGTGTTCCAGTAGTATCATAAGCTTTGTGTCCAGATGGCATCATCACTACACTGCTGCTGCTTCATTTATGGAAGACTTGATCAAACACAAAGAAAACCTACAGTGTTTGATCCAGAAATACCCACAAAGTGGGATTGCCCTTTAACGGTAATGATTATTCGTTTATTTTATGAATTACTTCCTCTTACCTGTAACTCTGAAGCAACGTCACAGATGCAGTCCTCGGTGCGTACAGTCTCTCTCTCACACACACTCTCACACTCCCACACAGAGTTTATAGCTGCTGTCTCGGGGTTCCGTACACGTCCGACACTCGAACCGGTTCCGTGCCGCTTCCATACACTGCCAGGTGACTCCTCCCTCCACCTGCCGTTGTCTGACACCTGCAAGGCGCTACTACGAGCTGCTTCCGGTTATTACCTTCAAAATAAATCTTTTTAATACAAAAACTAAGCGCGACGATGGAACTATTTACTACCGTAAAAAAACAAACTCTTTTTTTCCCCATCAAAAAAACTGCAACGACCTTACATGTTCTCACTTTTAACCTAACAGCAAATGTGTTATTTAAAACGCGTAAGTTTTTAGCAATAACATACAATTTCCGGTCAAAATGAGTATCGCTTATTTATATTTTATATTATTCTTTTCTTCTTCTGAATTTACGTTGAAGTAGTTAGTGAGCTCCAGCAGCAGGCAGACAGAGTCAGTCCCAGAAGGCAAATGTAAAGAGCTTCATGTGAAACTGTTGAGTAAATATTGGATGAAGGGGTGTGTGAGGGCAGAGCGTAAGAAAAGTAAAGAGCCATCTGAACTTTTCACACACTATTTTATTCACATACATACATTCTCATAATATTTCTTATTTTCCAGCCATGGGAAACTGTAAAAAAGATAGCGACAGGCCTGGCTTGTTCCTGCAAAGTCCTCCATGACAGGTTCATCCAGGCTCAGCAGTCACTCAGCAAAACCAAAAAGATGCCAAGTGCAAAAACAAGTGCTGAACATGCACTTTCAACTAATAAATACTGACAATTTCCCCACAACGAATCCACATGCTCCTGGTACTCTGGGCCTGTCGAGCTACAGAATCAAACTCTGTTCAGGTTCCACGAGGCAACAAGCTTGCTTGAGAAATGATCATATCTTGTACAGACAACACAAGATGAGGCAACAATACTGGTAATACCTGAAGCATCACACAGTCAGCAACACATTAACCCACCTTTGGTTAGCACCACGTGGAGGATCATTGGAGTTCAAGATTAAAGTCAGAATTTCAGAAAGTATATCATCTTTTTAACAGTTTTTTTCTTTTTTCTTTTTTCTTACATGTCAAAAAAAGAGTCTCTAATCTCATTGTGTTGGTTCGTGTGACACTAATCTTCCTCCATACTAACCCAAAACTCATACAATAAAAAAACCTGACAATGAAACAGCGTCACGGTATGACAGAGCCACGTGTTATTCGCTGGTATATTCCTCTATGATCAGGTCCTCCGCCTCCAAAAGGACCTGGCTTGTAGTAGGTTGGGGCTGACTGGCAGGCAGACTGTCCTCAACACAACCTTCCTCTTTTTCCTCCTCTTCCTCCCCACTATCTATCTCCAGCTGGCCCGGCTCTTTGTCTGTCAGAGCCTCCAGTCTTAACCTACACACACACACACACACACACACACACACACACAAAGACAGAGCACAACTGTAAGGTCTAATACAGTTTACACTGTTGCTGTTTGAAATGGAACAGATGTACATCATGACTGACAGCAACAATCTGTGGCATAGGTTTGGTTTCAGAGAACACAATGAAGTCATGGCTTCTCCAACCAAAGAAAACAAATGCTTTACCTTTTTTGAGGGTACTTCAAAACTTAACTACTGATTACTGTACAATTCTGTCACAAATATAATGTGATTGATTTATTGTGCACTATTATTACTACTGTAATTAACTATTAGTGGTGTTCTTGTCCTTCTGTCAGAAACCCTGAGCGGTTTTAGCCAGAATAAAATCCAGCTTTGGTCCTTAACTTATGTCATCTCTCACTTATTCTCATATATTTTCCACCATTGTCTTGTGTCAGTGGGACAGTACAGCCTGATGCTGTAGAGGCTGGGTGCATATTTTGGATTGCTGACTCTGGGTCATTGTGACTCACGGACACACTTGAATCTAGTTGCATTATGGGAATATTAAAATGTGTGCTGTACCTGCCAGGGAATTTCCTCAGTGACATCTGACCCACGTCCTGGATAAAAGCTATCTGAACTGGAAGACAGTGCAGCACAGAACACTTCTAGTAATGAATCCTCATAAGCTTTATCAACAGAAACACCTAAACAGTTTACAACACTCTGCTGATTATGGTAAGATGCATCACAGTAAGTAAGTCTATCACAGCAAAAAGGATTTAAGGATCATATGCACATTAATTAACTTTGTCAAGTTAAAATGACATTATTTAGCAACACATTGTGCGTCGGCAGTGTTTTAAAGTACTGGCAGCACCAAATGACAAAACTAATATGAAGCAACACAAAGTGTCGTACAGTGCAGCAATGATCTGAAAGCATTTTAAAGCTAGGCAATCTAGGCTTTGACATGCTGCTCAGCTGTCCGCTGAACAGCATGCCAGCCAGGACACTGGTTGTGATTTTCCACTGGATGGTACCAGTTCACCTCGCCTAGACTCTACTCGCCTCTTCTGGCTTTCCATTGGGTAAATCTATCGAGGTCCCAAAATAGCTGAGGCAGTACCAAAAGGTGACGTGAAAATGCTACAGACTCTTGATTGATCCCACAGAATTGTTATTATTCGCTGCATCATCATTGCGTACGCGAGACGGGGTATCCCAATCAAACCCGCCATTTTTAAATAGTAGAGATTGGTGAGATAGTAACTGTAACGATACTGTCTGTAAATAGCATCCCCGCGTTTTCCTCCATTGTTGAGGTGGGTGGAGCATTAAAGATTACGTCACAGCAGTTTCGTTCGGGTGGATTTCAGCTGTGGCAGGTTACACAGTCACTCCCACAAGCCACTTTGGAGGGTTGAATATTTGTATTCTCTTCAAAAGGCTTCTGCAATAACAAATGAATTGCAAGGTGACACTACAATTCCCATGAGTACTACCTGCTTACAGTGTTTGCTCATTGGTCCATTTGTGAAGCCTAGTGCCTTGCACTTGTGCGAGTGATCGACAACACTGTAACACACAAACGACCGCCATCATCTCTCCCCCATCCTTCACCCTCACTCAAGTCATTCCCAGAACATCTTGGGTATTCATCCCTCTTCTGGTCCCATCTATCTATCAAATATATAGCTCTAGCTCATGATTTAGTAGCCTGCTCATTAAAAGATGTCCAAACAATAGGCGTTGCTAGGCAACCGGGTATGGTGCGAATGTTGAGCGCAGCATTACAGCAGTTTCTATGAGGGGGTAAAAATGACCTCTGGTGGTTCTAGGTATAAAGGATCATATTTTTATTTCTATTTATCCCACACCCCTAAAATGCACTAATAAATGATTAATAAACCCATTTTAGGAAAAGTCATGAACTGAGAGATGTAAGGGTTTTATTTTCACAGAGGTACATAAGAAGCTACTCTTTATAGGTCTTTATCTTAATAGACTACATGTTTTAATATAAAAGGAGCTTTACGCACAACCTTAGTCTATCAGAGCCAATGATAATGACATGTAGTGTTATAAACTTTTTGTGGTCTTGAATTGCATGTGTACAGTGGTTATTTACATTTAAAAAGGGTTGTAAATCTAAATTCAAGTAAAGTAAACACTCCAATCAATATTTCCCTAACATCAAAAATGTGGCTAGTGAAATGCTGTGTGGCTAGTAACTTTGAAAAACCACTAGCCACAGTGGCTGGTGAGCAAAAGTGTGTGTGTGTGCTACCTTGATTCCTCATTGGGTTGGTGAGTTTGGCCAGGTATGGCAGCAGCTCAGTCTGCAGGCTGACTGGTGTTAGACAGAAGCTCCTGAACAGGGACTGGGCAGCCAGGCAGTTCTCCCGGTGCTGACAGGAACAGATCGGTCTCATTACAGTCTACTTCTACCCGCCACACATGAGACACAGTAGAACACCCACAAAGTCCAGTTGTTTTTGGTGACCCATCTTTCTGATCAGAGAAATGTTGTTCGTAAGGGGGAGGATTGTCCTAGTTGACCACCAGGGAGCACTGACAAACTACAACCATAACTAAAATAACTTAAGTTTGTCGAAGTCACCCTTGTTCTGGTTTTAAGTTTAAAAGACCAAAGGGTTTAAACCAAAGGGAAGCTAATGACAGAGCAAATGTGTGTCTTACCTTCTTGTTGACCAGCAGCCAGTTGGGTTTGTGCAGCGGTCTGAAGCCAACAGAAACATGTTGAGCATTGGAGTGAAGGAGCCCCCTGGTGGCCACTGACGACCCATAATCCCCCATGGTGCTGCGACACTGAAAACAGTACAACACAGCACAGCACACACCTTTATTCAGACGACACAAGTTATAGTTAACCGTCAGTCCACCATGAACCATATTGTTAGGACACAAATACATTCATGTTGTCACTCTCTACTCTGCCACTACGCGACTGTCCGGTTGTACGGCCTACTACCTGGGGGTAAAAGGACTGCTGAACTTTCCAGAGCTGCATAGTATTTGATAGTACTCTCAGCAGTATTACATACCACTCTGGTGTGGCTAACAAGCCTTACCCCTCCTAAATGTATTTTCATTTTTTTTAAATGGGCTCTCTTCGCATCTGCATCATCATAGTGCTATTGTCAAGCTGAGTGACTAAAATGGTGGTATGTCATAGTGCAAGCAACTCTTTAAATAACGTACACCGACAACTGGAAAACTGCTGTTCAGATTCTGCTGATCAAAGTTTTCCTTAGTTTCCTTTAGTGTCTAGGGAAAGACTGACCGTCCAATCAGCAGTAAGGAGGTCAGCATCAGACAGATACTCGCTGGCCCGTTCCACATCCTCCACCTCAGAGAAGAAGTCCAGGTAATTCTGGTGGAGGTACAGGTTGAAGAACTCTCCAGACATGTGTGAACGCTCAACAACCACCTGAACAAAAAAGGGACAGACAGACGAGTTCTGAGTGTTCTCAGAGAATAAAAGGACGTTTAGGCATGCTGTTTGTCACCTGTTAAAAAGCATGTTTGTACCTCAGGGTCCACTAGTAGTGTTTCTCTATGATGATGAGACAGGTGAGACGGTAGACCAAGTCCAGGGGCACATTCAGCACCTTCATGATTCCCTCCTGTTGATGACAAACAACCAAGCATACAAACTACTTGCCTCGGTGTCAGTTACAGTTCCTGAAGTATTTGATCAACCAAAGCCGCTGTGCACCAGCCATCCTCTGCAGGGATCAGATGCTTCCAGCCGCAAAGAAAAATCAGCAATGAGCACTGATGGGGAGGGTAGCTGTCGCAGTAAAATGTGCTGCTTTGCACAGAAAGGTACTTGCTTGCAGTGGAATTATGTTCTAAATTGTGGTTTTCAAGTGTAATTTGGTTTCTCTTGAATGATTGTGACCTCCTGGCTAAATGAAGCGCATGCTGGGCTCACATGATCAAGTACAACAAATTGCTTGTAAAGCTGCCATCACAAGCTAAAAGGAAGAAAAGAGTTCCAGAAGAATATATATCTATATATCATAATTCATACTGACAGTGATTGTGTTTTTCACGGTGTTTGCTGGTCAAAGGAAGATCATTTGTAAAAAAGGAACAAATAAATCCTGGTCAAACATCAGTCTGTATCAGAAGAAAAGCTTGGGAGCAGTTATAGAGAGTGACTTTGTGGTTTATCACACACACTTGTGTTTAAGGAATGACGTTCTGCATGAGTCTGAATCAACTTGATTTCCTGTTTAGACAATTTAAGGTGAACGCTCCTTTGAAGTCAGCCCCAGGCCCAGTGGTTCCTACTGAAGATGTAAATCTTAAACAACTCACATATGCTATTGTTTTTGTGGGTTTTAGTTATTATTATTATTATTATTTGTTGTCTGCCGCACCGGCTCAAATTCCCGTGAGCTGGAATGAGCTAGAAACATGAAACTTGCAGGAATAACTGGAAATGGTGTGCATCAGCTTCCATAGAAATATGAACCCAATCAGCCACATGGTGGCGCTATAATTAAGGCTTAAAAATGCAAATTTTGAAATGCCACGCCCCTCACGCCGTAAGTCAGATTGACTTAAAATTTCTCACACAGGTGCAGCTCAATGTGCTCTACAAAAAAGCCTCAAGGACCATTAAGGTCCGCCCGAGTTTTTTTTCCGCCATTTTGAATTTTTGACATCACCTCCTAGCCCGTAGCTCCGATTGGCACCAAGTTTTCAGTGAATCATCATTGGTTCAAGCCTATTGAAAGTTAACAGCATGTCGATATCTCAATTACTTTTCAAGATATGGAACAATGAACTTTGAAAGGGGCGTGGCTCTGGACATAAATGACCACAAATCAGCAACCGTAGAGCCAATCATCACAAAACTCACAGACTCACTATCTTATGTTCAGATAGGTGCCTCAGATATACCTGGACTGTTTGATGTACATACGTCCTTAGGGGGCGCTACAAGCACAAGGCAGGTGCTTAGCATTACACAAATTACACTATAAATCCCATATTCATTCTCCAATCATCACAAATCTCTCAGGATGTCCTCATAAGTAACCCATGCCCTGAAAGTTTCATTCAAATCGAACACCCGGGGGCGCTATAAATTCAAACAAACTGCAGGGGATAAAACGCAAATCAGGCTACAGAATACAAATTGTTTGTCCAATCAACACAAAACTTGCAGGATATGTCTAGATAAGGACCTCACACATACACTGAAAGTCTCATTCAAGTCCACCACTAGGGGGCGCTATAAATGCATCGTAACTAGACGTGGAATGATACAAATCAAGCTATAGATCAGAAAATGGTTGTCCAGTTGTTACAAAACTTGCAGGATATCTTTCATAACAATGTTGAACCGTCTTTGTGAAATAATTTTGATGGCGATTTTGGGAAAAAAGGTATGTACCCGCAAATCGCCGCTTGCAGCTATATTTTCATCTTTAAAATATAGCTCAGTAATTTCCTAAAACAGCTGCTCACTGCACTTTTTAACCAGTGCTACTCAAACAGGAGGAAACCATTTTCAGCAGTGGATGAATCCACACACAGCTCTAGTGAGCAGTTGGGGCAGCAACAAACAACAGTATGTGAAGGAACATGTCACCCAGTGCAACAGGGAGGCTCACTGATGAGTTTCTGATCTCTATACGACACATCAGGCTTTGGACACACACACACACACACACACACACACACACGTTACTTACAGAGGAAAGGCTTGTATAGGAACTGGGAGATCTGACTCACGTTTGCAGTGCAGGATCTTTCCCAGTGCTCTGAACAGGAACAGAGAAGCATCTTTCCCCCCAATAGCCTGCTCTCCTTCCTGCTCCTTGGTCTGTTTGGACTTCTTCCTCCTCTGGTTCACCTTGGAAATAGCCTTCCCCAAAGGTCTGTCTTTCCTCATCCTCCACAACCCCTTTCCCAACGATGTGTCTGAAATTTCAATGATAATACAAGGTCTTTGAGGTCGGTCAGTTGGACAGGGCAACAATATTTGTTCTGAGGAAAGGTCATAGGGCTTTTAATATCAAAAGGGATTTATGATGTGGACACTCCTGACTACCCCTCTCCTAGGCGTTTGTGGGGGTGCTGCAGCACCCCCTGCTGGACTGTGGACGATATGAGTATTGGAGTTTAAAAAAATAAAATAAAAATAAATTCTTAACATTTTAATCACGTTCAATACATTCCAAATCACACAACATTTCTGTTCTGATCAAATACTTAATTAACAATATTAAAATGTCCATCAATCCGACAACTTCTGCAGCAAATGACTGCTGGAATAGAACACTAAAGTATCTGGGCCCTAATCCGCAGTGTGTAGTCTATTCAAATAGATCTGGTCTGACTATTCAGTGTCATGACTGGATGAAATTAATGGGGGCGGATTGAGAATACTGTGAGAGGGGTGTGTTCATTATGTTGGGTAAAGTTGAGCTAAATTAACACTGGCAACAATAATTACTGAATTTATTGCCTTTAACAGTTTTTGCATATTCGGTGGCAGCACCCCCATCTTCTATCGCACAAGACCCCTCTGCTGTGATGTGTGGATTTACTCCTAACCTGGGAGGGAAGAAAACTGGAGGCTGTTGATGGCACTGCGAATATCTCCTGAGCTTCCTGAACACAGTGTCTCCAACACTTCCTGGTCTAGGGCGCACATCCTCCCACAGCTCTGCTCAGAATTATGGGAAAATGTACGGTAAAAAACAGACACTCATACCAAAATGTGTAATCAACTGCAAGGCTTCCTTTCACCTTTTCTGTCTCCAGGGTGGAAATTCGAGTCAGGACTTTCATCATGGTGGTAGGAGCCACTGGATTAAAACTGCAAACAGAAGATACAAAGCAATGTTCAGGGGAATCCAGTGGCCTTCAGAGGATCTACAGACGATGGCCACCATCATCATGAGGAACAGTTTTATTCAATATCCTGTTAATCCACATTTGATCAGCAAATCAAGTCTCAAATAAAGGCAAATAAAGTATTCAAATAATGCCCAAGACACAAATTATAGCATGAACACATGAAGAGCACTTATGCCATTTGAAAAGCTCTCTGAAAGATGGAAGATGAAGACGGGATTTTTGGATTAAAGAGCAGCAGACCACGATCCACCCGGCCCAAACAACCGGAGCCATGCTGGATAAAATGGGAGAGTCTCTCTCTCTCTCTCTCTCTCTCTCTCTCTCAAATCCCACCTCTGAACTGTCCCTATGAGTTCTACTCACAGTGTTCAAGGGGATTGGTCAGTACCAGGTTCAGTCCAGGAGCTGATTAATAATGTTCGGCTGTCTTAGTAAATCCGGTGCTACTTACATGCAGGTTGCAACCAGAAACTAAATTAAAACTGCAGCACACATTTGCATTTATATATCACTGTTTTAGTAATCTGGTCATGAATGCACAACAACAATTGTCCCCCATCAGTTCACAGCTGGGACTCAACTAGGGTGACCAAACGTTCTTTAGGTGATGCCCACAGATGGGCACTGCTCTGACCTTCCATTTGCTACAGCAGAGTCACAAATATGCATGTGTGTTCTTTTGTCCTTTTTGTTTTCTAGTGTAGATGAAAATGATGGAAGCTGCAGTCGCGAGGACAGAGGAAGTGCAGCTGCAAGCAGCCACAGAGGAGATATCTGACATGCACGTTGTGCAGACAGATGTGACAGACATCGCACTGATGAAATGTTTTAAAGAGGTGGTATTCTGCTCATTTTCAGGTTCTTATTTAGGGGTTGTACCAGAACAGGTTTACATGGTTTCATGTCATACTGCACATTGCTGCAGCTCCTCTTTTCCCCCCTGTGTTGAAGGCTTCGTTTTAGCTATGGAGTGATACATCTTGCCTCTAAATGATCTTTGTTGGGAGTTGCACATGCGCAGTTCCTAGTTAAGGACTACTAGCAAGTCAGAAGCAGAGAAGGGCGGGACAGTGAGAAGCAAACACGGCTTCAGTTCAGCTGTACATGTTGCCGACCAGCTTGGCAACATGGACTGGAGCAAGGGTTTCAGAGTGGTGAGTTATTAATCTGTAACAAAAGAATCTTTCATCCATAAAGCCCTGGAACGCCACCTGAAGTTGGATTTCCTACTTGTGAACTTGTGAACAAATATGTACCCCCGACTTCACGAGTAGCAGCTGAATTACGTCACAAAACACTGTCAGCGTCCATGGAAGCACACATTGTAAATGGTAAACCATAAACTAAAAAGCAACAACAAGTATATTTGCATGTATTTAAATTTAAATAATACATACGGTCATATTGTAAAACCTGTTCTGCATGTACACTGATGTAGAAATATGTTAGGCCTATTAGATAGCTGGCTACAGTAAAGAATCTCATAAAGTCATCTTCTCTGCATAAAAGTTATTGTTAAAAATGCCAAAACATTAGGAAGTATAACCTTCAACACTGACTGACTTGAGGGTTACCAACTGATGTAGCTAGAGGGGTACACAGAGTAACGTATAGGCTATTTATGTCAGTTGTAGTAGTTAAACTGCCATCCTTTTAATTAACACCTAAAACACTGCTGAGGGTGCAACTGTGTGTACACTCTGTCACGGTTAGCCATGGTGTTCGTTCACTTTCGGCGTCATGCACCACCATGCACCTGGAACGCTTTGAGGTCGGAGGTCGGAAGTTTCAACAGGGAAATATCCCAGTTCCAACCGGTCTCGAACGCGGCACTAGTTTTCATCCCTGTGACGTCACAGGGATGAAAATGATTCATTTTAGTGGGTTTTGAACCTGATGCTGCTGATGCCCAGCTCCTCCTGGATCTCTCTGGGAAAGAGAAAGCGTGAGCTGCTGTCTCCACTCAGACTGTCGGACACTATAAACACCAGGGGACGTCGACTGGTCTTCACAAAGTGCCTGGAAGACACACAGCAGAATACAATCTCACACAGAGCAGGGACACACAGGTGGCACAGATTAGACAGCATTGATTCATGGATGCATACAGCTGGCCTGCTGAATACAATAACACACCCTGTATACTAGGACTACTCTGTCCTATAGAAAGGGTCAAAACGTGGCTTCATGGCAACATTCATTCCCTTTACATAAAATGGAGCCACTGAAAGCTGCTCCTGGTCACAATGCACCCGTCTTTGCTTTTACACATTGGTTTCCAAGCTGTGTGTCGTCACAGTAACTTCTCCTGGTGTCCTGTGTGAAAGTATGAAAGGAAATGTAGGCAGAAACCAATCTGATCTCACCTCAGGATATCATGCAGGCTGCCAGGCTGCCTGTAGAACTGGTTTGGGAAATCCTGAGGAGGGACAAGTGATGAACACTTGTCAACTGTGTATGCAATCAATCTAAACAAAGCAGCTTTAAACCAATGTTTCACTTTGGTAATATTCGTGGTCATTTATTTATCATTACACATTACAAGGCTGGATAATGGACAGAAAGTTTGTAGTCCCTTCATGCTACACACTTAACAGATAATTAAATGTATGTTAAAATATGACAACAAAAAAATAAAAAACACCCCATGCAGTTATTATACACACCGAGAACATTCTGCAGTGTATTATTTGAGTTAGTGTCTGGGGTGAATGGAAACAGCAGCAACAAGATGATAATATGACGTCTGAAAATCTGACATTTGGGAGTCCACTGGGAGTCACCAAGCATCACTGATGGAAACATCATCCTGCCGGAGTTTTAAATCCTAGCTGAGCAAACATAGCTCCTGTCCCGGTTCACCAAAGGTCCACTGCTCTATAATCCGAAACCCCAGGTTCCTTTGCCAATGACAGGAAAACAAAGGTGTAGCAACGTTTGAACGAGTTACCGAACACTGTGTCTACATGCAGTTCAAGCCAAGTTCCAATTTCTTTTTGTGACATTTTTTACCTATCCATCTACTCTGAACTGGACAGTGCCTGGACTCGACTTTCTAACGCTCTGATCTAATTTGGATGAGCAGGACACCACTTTCTGTTTTGGTTAAGGGTCTATCCTAAAGCAATAGAAAACATTTAGTGGTCTATGGTTGTATGGAGTTATGTCACAGGTTGTGTGTAAATCATTAACTTTAAGAAGAAATATGTTTAAGCTCTCCTGCATGAGCTGGCAGAAAGAGATTACAGAAACCATAAAGGTGTTCCTCAAATATAACATTAGTTATCATAATCGTTTACAGACTCTGATTTTCTAACAAACGCCTACATACAGCAGGTTCTTAACCACTGGATATGTTAAGTAAATGTGATGGAAATTCTTGTGAGCAAGTCGACTCTTACTGAAGAAAAAAGTCTCAGGATGCCTTACACAGCATTATTTAGTGAAGCTCGGTCGAGGAGACAATGGTATCATCGGTACACAGTGTGAACACAGTGAGTGCCAAATCTGAAGGATGCATCTCAACACACACAGACTCACTGTGTGTCCCAATAAGGTTATTATTCAGCCATCTATACATGTGTGAAGATTCTATTGGATATTGGTTCACAACAAGATACTATGCTTCCCGTAGTCACTTTGGAATTGGGAGGAGACATGTATTACAATCTAAGAGGAGACCGTCTGTAGATCTAACTGACTAAAGTAGGACACCATATCTTTCGTCCTTGGCTGTTTAGACAACGACTCGTTCCTATCTACCCAGACGACGTCATGCACTCAGAGGGAAATCAGCAGCTGAACTATTTTTTAGAGAGACAGAAGTCATTCTGTTTCTATGTCTGCAAGTGACCTGAACATGACACGTGTATGACCCATACCTCACCTTTCTGCACACTGAGCGCACTAAGAAAAAAAAAGAGTAATTATCAATCATTTATTTTGGTTTCTAATGCAATACAAACATTTAATAAGATGTCCACGGTGAGGACAAAGAATCGTATGTGCAGGTGTATTTCACACGGATTCATTTATCGTTACAGAAGGAAATGGAATTTTAATCGTGACGCTGATTTCAAGTGATATTGCTCAGCCTAAGCCAAATCTTACTCAGGAACAAGAGAGCATAAAATAAATAGGAATGACGCATGGTGTAATTACAGGAACAGTGGCTTCAGGTGAAGTGTAGTACATACCTCCACCAGTATGAGCTTCCTGTCTGTAGCTCCTCCATCACCCGCCATCTTCAGGCAGTTGTACTTGTTGGCTCTGAGGAGGAAGTCCTGGAACTGAGCTAACTGGGAGCTGCAGGACAAGCCGTTCGTCCTCCATTCTGACAAAAGACAGATTTAAAGACCTCAAAAAAGCAGGGCCTATTTATATACTATACTATACTGACACGGGATAGCAGTGTAGGTACCCAAGATGATCTATCCCATTGCAACGGTTAGCCTGCATTGACCAGAAAAACATTTACAAACACTGTGAATAAAATATCAGAAACACCTTTTAAAAGAAATCAAGCAAATACATCAGCACCAAGTCGGTCTCAGCTAAAGCATTTTCTTGTTTCAATTTTCATCCAAAAAGATTGTTTTAATTTATCGTAATGCCAGTTCTTATTTTGACAGTGACACTGTTGGGTATGAGGCTGGGGAGGCTTTTTGCTCACCATGCTGACTGCTGCTGTATGGCTCCAGGTTGGTGGGGTTGGTCCACTCCTGAACCCTGAGGCCCAATTCCTGAGACAAAACCTGGACTGTGGCAGTCTTTCCACAGCCTGATGGTCCCATCAGCAGCAAGATGCCACCCTGTAGATGACAGCCAAACTAAACCTGAACCTTCAGCTCAACTTAAGACCTCCACAGACAACATAAGATCATAATAGCTCAGACTTCAAGATTAGCTCTTGACATATCTTGGTCTACAGACAGGACCCATTCCATGACTGACACCCCTGACAGTTGTGAGAAATACATTTATAAGTTGCTGATTTTTAGGATTTCACTGTAATTAACTTGTGAGAAATTAGCATTGGTCACAGGGTTTTTATTCCTAAGCAAAGGGTTGTCTGATTTACAATAAACATCTGCTGGCATGTAGGTGAGAGTTTTAACATAGACCAATCAAGAGACAGAGAAACATCTGATGCCACATACATTTGCATTTCCTTTCTTAGCTCAGGAAGAGTTTTTGAGTGTATGCTAATACTCTGCCATTTGTTTGGCTGTTGTTTGCTTTGTACTTACTAGTTCAGGAGAGTAACAGTGCGTTCTCTCTGTGGCCACGATACATAAAGAAATGATTCAACACATCTAATTAGACTTCGTATTCTTTGGGAAGGAATTGTTTCCCTGACACAGTAAAGCTTAGTTTTTTACACTAGTAATTGGAATCATTTGATGGTTTCGTTTACCAAGAAGAATGTGGATGAGTTGCTACAGTATTCACATCACTAAATAAAAAGGTCAGAATTGGGCCACTGCTAGTCTGGCAGCCAAGGTCCAATTGCTGAAATCATTAATTATCTGAATAAAAAATAAGACTTCAGTTACCTGTGATGTGTTTGTGTGAACTCTCATCCAGTTCTCCACTTCCTCGATCTTCTTCTTGTGCACAGCAAGCTCACCCTACACAAATCCACATAGCACCCATTACTAGAGACTACTAGAGAGTTCAGTGTCGAACGTTTATCACAGCTAAAAAAAAAACATGATAAGAACCTTCATCCTCCATACTATCAAATCAAATAAATCAAGCCCTTGACCGCTGATGCTGGGGGGTATTAATGGATATCAGCTGTGAAGACATGCTCACATCTGTCCTGCAACTTTAAATAGGCTCAAAAAAAAAGTTAGTGTGAGTGTGATTCCATGATGAACGGGCAGTAACCAAACTTTAAGGACTGTGTAAAAATTCCTTCCCCTTTATGTGGCCACTGCATAGATGGATGCCATGCATGAAAGGAAAGGTTCATATTTTTCCAAGTCTGTCTTCAAACACTCCTCACATGCCCATATGTACACTGAAAGAGTGAGTGGTGGCTGCTATCATTCCTCCTCACTTCCAGTGAAACTTTGGAGGATGCCCACTTATTGTGATATTGAGTGTCCAGAACTTTTACTATAACATGACAAAATAATATTGACCAGGGGCCACCCCTCATTTTGAAGACATTATATATATTTATACTTATTTATATATTGAGGCTTGATATTGCAAATACATTGAATTCTGCTTGCAACTGTTGAGAAAAGAAAAAGACTCAAACGTTATCAGCGATGATGCTGACCTGTGAACAGGGCGAGTATCTGTCCACCCAGGGCTCATCTTGGTCCCTCTGGGCTGACGCTTTCAGCAGGTAGGACGTGTGAGGGTCTGAGCCGCCGGCCTCTCCTTTCCTCTTCCTGGGCCTCTTGGGCTCAGCCTTGGAGCACAAAACCTGGCTGCCCTTTCTCCCTCCACGCAGAGAAAAACTATCATCTGGAAAATCAGTGAAGGACGGATCCACCCAGTGGTTCAACTATAATAAATACAATCAAACAAAAAGGGTTTAAGATTCATAAGGAACAAGTGAAGTCAAAGTGTAAAGATTAGAGCTGGTCCATTACTGGAAAATGAGGTGGGCAGAAACAAAAGGTGTTCCTGAGGGAATGGGCCACGACTCTAAACACACACCCTGTAATGTAATGGTCATGTAATGGTCCGGTAGGCATGTTAAAGAGCATACCCTGCTGGAAGCAGCTCCCTCTCCCTGAGAAAGCTTGCTCATCCTTCACCTAGGTGCTTCACATTGAGGGTAGCAGTTCAATGGAGAACTGGGAACCTGAAAAGCAGTGGAAAGAGTTGGTGGTGATTCTGTTAGATCTAACGTTAGTTAACACAATGCAACAAAAACAGCAGCCAGGGCAGAGTTCCCTTAGTAAACAGCGCAAAGAAATTGTGGGTGGATTTTTGAGGTTTAATATTGCATTAACTTTACTTTTACTCGGTTCCCCTTCTTATTGAGCTGCACTTAACGTTACCCGATAGGTTTGAAGAGTCGAATACTTCCTAAAAGTAAAGTTTTGTCTATTTGAATTGTCTGTTAGTGTTGTTTAACTAGCGTCATCAGCTTTGACTGCAGGATGGTGGGATGGATGAACTCATGTTATTGGTGTGTTTATGTTAAGCTAATATGATAACTTTCTAACTTATCTGTGTTAACCTACCTTGTTTGACCATTTGAGGTGTCTGAAGCAGACCTCGGTGTTCCGACACTTTAAAATCTTGTTGGGTGAGACGAGGACTAATTAGTGAGTTAGTGAGTGTGTGACGAAGGAGTTAAAAGAGGTCTGATAACGTTCGTTGGTTTAAACTCCGGTACTCGGAGTGCAGCAAACTGACTATTTGTTGACGTAAAACTGACGTGAAGCCCCAGTTTACTGCAGTGCTCGTTTGTGGAAGTCTGCTCAGCCTGGTGTGAAAGCAAACATCTAGCTAGCTGCCGAAGTCTTCCATCTTGTCAGCGTCCGCTTTTCGGGTTTGTTTCTTGACATTTAACGTTAGCGTTGGGGATTGAAGTGACTGTCTAGAATGGCACGAACACATAATAGAAGTATTCTCTCTTTCAGGTTGTCATCGAAACACGTGTTGGCAGCTAGCACGCTATGAAGATGAAGAAGCGACCAAACATTCTGTTAACAGGTGATGTAACGTTACCTTGAACGGTGAAGTTAATGAGCCACGACCATTCAAACAAAACCCGCGGCTGATAAATTCACTTTCTCCATTAGCCTTAGTTTGCAGGTCTTTAACTTTGTTGTGACGTTAGCTTGCCAGTTTGACAAGTAGCTGTGTTTGTAATGAGGGCACATTTCAGTCATTTTGATTTGCATCACGATCGTGGAACTAACGTATCTTATACATGTAATAGTTACATAATACTCATTTACTGTCTATTAATGTCAAGCATAACTTACTATACTGTTCTACTGATTAATCGGGTGATCAATGCAGACGTTCTTGATTTTTCACTATGTAAAGCTTGTATTTAAATTTTTAAATGGACTTGCTCCCCAGTCTCTCCCTAAGTACACCAAGAGCAGCTTCAAGTGGCGACTGTGAAGTTTAATTTAAAAAAACAACTTATTTTGCTCTGATGGCCTTTCCTGTGAAAGTCTTGGAACTTGCTACCTAAAGACTTGAGAACTGCTGCAAACGTCACAACCTTTAAGAGAGGCCAAGTCCTTGTACTCATGTCTAGTGTTTTATTGAATCTTGATATACTCATTTTATCTCCTTTTATCTTGTGTTCTACTGTCACTCAATGTACCTCTTTTTCCCTTTCCATTTTAATGTTTTATTTCTTTAAAAGCCTTTCTAGGGACGGTTGTTTCAAATAAGCAACCACTAAAAACACTATGATACACACATTGGATTTCTGTTTTCAGTTTATCTGTGCAAGCTGCATCAGTCCTTACTAAAATAAACCATGAAAAAAAAAACACATAAAATTAACAAGCAGCAGTTTTAAAAATTGATTCATCTTTTAAGTCAGTTATGAAGCTGAAGTGCCAAACATTGTTGCAGCTTCTCCACTGTGAGGGGCTGCTGTCTAATGTCAGTGTAAACTGAATGTTTAGCTTTTGGACCGACATGTCTGTTCTGAGACACTGTTACAGGCTTTTTTTTCACTATCTTTGGACACATTATTGACCAAACATTTAATGGATTGATTGCCAAAATATATGGCAGTTTAATCAATAAGTCAGAATTCTGACTTTATTTTTACGTGAAAATTTTATTTGAGTTTAATCTCTGAGAAAAAAGTCAGAATATTAATACATAAAACAGCAGCAATGCTACATTTTAGACACATCTAGCAACAGAGACATAACCTGGAAGTAGAACACAGTCCCTTGTTTCCTCCATTACCTCTAGCATCCCCCCATTTCTAACCATAAATCAAGCAGTAAATTCTGCGAGGATTTTGTACTGCTCATCTGTCTGTTTGGATCTCATGAGATGATGTGTGCATTACTTCACCTTTTGAAATAAGGTAACATATACATTCTTGAATGAAATCTCAAATCTGTCCTACAGGAACCCCTGGTGTTGGAAAGACCACTTTAGGAAAGGAGCTGGCCCAGCGGACAGGGCTGACCTATGTTAACATAGGAGACCTGGCCCAGGAAGGTAAAGATGAGGAGCATCTTGAATCAGATTAAAGCCTCACCGGGCTTGCCGTAGCTGGCCCTGCTTTGAGTTTTCACTCAGGTAATTAGACTTACTATGCAGATGAGTCATCCTCATGATCCTGATCCTCTTTCCCCAGGACAACTTTATGATGGCTATGACGAAGAGTACCAGTGCCCGGTTTTGGATGAAGATAGAGTAAGTTGAATTCAACATCGAAGCTTTGAACCTGGTTCTGAAATGCTCATCTGTACTGCACAAAAATAGAAACGGCTAAGTGTTCCATTGGACATGATCAGGTACCACTGCACCACTCGGCCCCCTTATTGTACATCTTAGTTAAACTCAGAGCTTGGATTTTTAGTGCTCTTTCCTACCTGGCTCACCAACAGACTTCACAGCCCATTATGTCATATTAAAGTTAGAGTTGGAATCTCATTCCTGCTGCCTCCGTCTTCTAAACCAGGCCAGCCACTCCTGACAGTTAATGAGTCTTAGATTAACTTGTATTGCACAAAGACAGGTGTACGTATTAATATTGCACTTCAATAAAATTGGGGGCAGCATATGGAATGGCATGTATGGTGTGTTATTAAAGAGATGGTATTGTGCTTTTTGGCTTTCCCCTCTCCTTTTATTGAGTTTATATCTTATATCTAGTCCGACACGCCCTCAAAAACAGCGGTGGAAAAACAGTGAGCTGCAGCACACAGCTCTCCTCTCCCTTCCAAACACTAGCTCCCCTCCAGGCAGTCAGTGGACAGGAAGTTGTTCCTGTGATGTAGAGACAGAGCTCAGTTAAAACTTTATGGATGAAAGATACTTTTGTTACAGATTAATAACTCACCACTCTGAAACTCTCGCTCCAGTCCATGTTGCCAAGCTGGTCGGCAACATGTACAGCTGAACCCAAGCTGTTTACCGGCTTCTCACTGACCCGCCCTTCTCTGCTTCTGATTGGCTAGTAGTCCTTAACTAGGAACTGTGCATGTGCAGCTCCCAACAAAGAAAAAAATCATTTAGAGACAAGATGCATCACTCCATAGCTAAAACGAAGCCTTCAGCACGGGGGGGAAAAGAGGAGCTGCAGCAATGTGCAGCATGACACACATGGTGTTTTTTGAAAATGAAACCATGTAAAGCTGTTCTGGTACAACCTCTAAATAAGAACCTGAAAATGAGCATAATACCACCTCTTTAAAACATTTTGAAGTTACATTGCATACAGAAAGTTTTCCCAGTGCTTCACTTTTTCCACAGTTAGTTGTTAAAATAATAATAATACATTTTATTTGATGGTGCCTTTTGACACTCAAGGTCACCTTACATCATAAAATATGACAAGCAATAGTACATAGCATCTCTAAAACAGCATAAAAACAAAAGGTAAATAAAATTAAAACATCAACAATCTAATGGGAATCAGTGTTGCACATTATTACTGTGAGTATGCTAGTTTGAAAAGATTTTGAAAGAAAGTTTTGAGCGCAGTTTTGAATTTTGTAATAGTCCAGTATACAGATGGGGGGTGGGGGGGGCAGAGAGTTCAAGAGTACAGCATAGAAGGTTGTAGCATCCATTGTACTGAGGTTGATTGTTGGGAGTGCCAAAAGACTTGTTGTGGAAGACCGCAGGGAACAAGATGGAGTGTAAGTATGAATGAGGCCAGTAAGATAAGTAGGAGACGGATTGTGGAGGGCTTTTAATGTTAATAGTAATATTTTAAAGAATACTTTCCAGATGCACTGTAATATCAAGTTTTATGTGTGTGAGTACAAGTGTTTGTCCAACCAAAAAAACCATTCTGTTTTTACCCCTTTTGAACCTGATGATAGTAATTATTGTGTAATGCTGTAAAAGTGTGATATTGGGTTTGGAGCCCTCGCAGTGCTTCCGTAAAATATAACTTGTTGCACTTTAAGCTGTGTTCATGTTTCCTTCCTGTACTGTCTACTCCAAATGTCTCTCTGTGAGCTTAAATGTGTTTAATTAAATTGTTGAAGATAATGATAAATGATTACAACTGAATTAGGTTGGGTGGACATCAGAATAAATATAAATATTGTGACTTGCTGTGATCCTGCAGGTGGTGGATGAGCTGGATGAAAAGATGGTAGAAGGTGGTGTGATTGTTGACTATCATGGCTGTGACCTATTCCCTGAACGCTGGTTCCACATGGTCTTTGTCCTCCGCACAGACAACACGCAGTTGTACACACGGCTAGAGAGCAGGTAACCTCCGCTTCCTTTCTTGGGTAAACTGTACATTAATACAAGTAAGAATGTGACTGTCTGACTTTAAGCCTGTGGACGATCAAGCTCGTGCCTGTATGATTTCAGATGTTGGTTTACATCTTTGAATGATTCAAACCTTTTACAGCAGCTAAGACCAAAAAAAGTGGCTAATGGTATACAGCTTTTGTTTTAGTGGTATATGCAGATTCTGAGTGGTATGTCACTGTTCGGACACTATGGACAATTGGTATACAGCTGGTGGTCTACTTGTATATGACACTTTGAATTTAAATCTTTATTTCGAACATGCAAGAGATAGTATAAAAAAATAGGAGGAAAAAACAACAGATGAGCAGCAAAAGTACCCTTCTTTCCTCTGTTAACATACTTCTGCATCACATCTGTGAAAAGGAGTAGGAAGTAGGGGTGGGGAAAAAATCGATACAGCATAGTATCGTGATATTTGCCCTAGCAATACTGTATTGATACACGGACATCAAGTATCGATATTTTATTATATAAATTGCAGATGGGAGTTTTAACTTTTTGGTACTAGAATAATAAAATCTATTGCTTTTTTTAGTCCACTAGAAAACTTAACAGGACCATATAGAGGACTGAAAAAGTGATATGAACAAACCGAGAAATGTATCTTTAGATAAACAGATGTTGACAAAGTTTGACTTTAGGGACCTAATTAGAAGTTGGAAAAAGGTAATAAATTGCAATATATCTCAATATATTTAAAATCAAATCACAACATAAATATCGTTATAATATCGTATCGTGGGGCCTCTGGTGATTCCCACCCCGAGTAGGGAGAAGTAAAACTTATGTACTCCTACCCTTTAATTCTTACATTCCTTCAATAAACAATTTTTATATTATTATTAAAAATGATGTGCCACTTGTGCTTCACTGGCAGACAGCACTGCAAATCACTACAAAGCTGTCTCCCTCCCCTTGTCTGAGCTGGACTGTGTCTTCTGTGTGACTGACAGGGGCTACGCAGGAAAGAAGCTGCAGGACAACGTGCAGTGTGAGATCTTCCAGACCATCTACGAGGAGGCCATGGAGGCCTACCGTGAGGAGATTGTCCACCAGCTGCCCAGCAACACTCCAGAAGACCTAGAGCGCAACTTGGAGCAGATAGTGCAGTGGACTGAGCAGTGGATGAAGGACCATAACTAGAAGCTGAACTCTGCCTGCTTGGGTCCACTAGGAGAACTGCCAACCAAAGTTATTTGGACAATTAAAAACGATTGAATTGTAGTTATTTTCCAATCTGCATTTCTTTAACACTGGTGATATGTTCAAAGATGTCCTTTTAAACACAGTACCAAACACCAGGACTTTCTGATTACCCATAGCATGATTTTTAACTAGTACAAACTAGTGTCACGTCAAATCACTCATAAACTGCTGCATTCATGTCATTTTTTTATAAATAAAAAATCACTGGGAAACCGCATTCTCACCATGTCCTAGTGATAATTAGGGGAAGTAGAATTGACTAACAGTGATTTGAGAAGTCATTCAAAAGGCAGATCATTCCAGATGCTGGGGCCCTAAAAGAAACGATCAGCCCTGGTCTGTGGCCTTGACTCAGGGTAGATAAGAGCCCCATGTTTTAGGATCTTGGGCCCAATGTCCATACTCAGTCCCAATGTCCATACTCAGATTTGAGGTGCGTTCCCATTAAGTCTGAAGATTTAGGGGGGACATTAAGATTGAGCCTTAGGCTTTGTGTTGGCTCCTGTGGACTTCAGTGATGTAACAAGGTGCCAAGTCACACAGTACTTTGCAAGTGAGTAATCAACTATTCTGTCAATGTCAATTCTAAAATGCTCAGGCAGCCAGTGTAAAGAGGCAGCAACAGGTGTGACATGATCCATGTCTTTGGAGTTGTAGTTAAAGACAGCGGCTGAGGGTGGAGTTCCACTTTGATGGAAGTGGGTCCAAAAGATATTTCAGTATCAAAGTAAACATCTGTTGAATCTTTCCAGCATTCCTAAGTTGATAAATGACTGAACTACCTTACTGATGTGATTAAAATGTGAATCTGCATTGAACATCACTCCAAGATTTTCAGCTAGCACCTATTCAGAAATGCTGTGGGTCAAAAATAAGGATATCTGTCACAACAGCTGGCACCAAATGTGTGGTGTTTTTTGGACTTTCCTCAGAGAGATCCCAATTTAAGTTAAACAGAAATTCCAGTTTTAAATCATTGTGTTTATACATTTATGAATGTTGGGTTTGGTAGAAGAAGAATACATTTTGATTCTTCAAAGTAAGATATCAAGACATTGTTTTGATGTTAGTACTAGTATAAAAACATTTAAAACAACACCTAACTGTTGTATAGATTATTAGTGTTCATTTTTTTCTTTCATGCTATATTGTCACTATTTTGAATTGTGTAAATACAACATTACAGCATATACAGTGGCGTCACAGAGTACTTCAACATATTGACCAACATTTTTTAGTGTGTTTTTAGTCTACACACTACCCTAATAATGACAGAATTCAGTTTTGAAGATGTTGGCTCTTAATTGAAAATAAACATCTGTAATAATATTTCAGTTACACATAATGTGTTCTGATCCATGTTTCAGAATTCTGTGGGACCTCTGACACCAGTAAGTATAGTCTAGGATGTGGTGTGCTTGTTTCTAATGTGATCAAACAAAAATGTGGTCAAGTCCCTGGCCAGCGTAGTGGCAATGTCATCCTCTGACCAAGCTACAAGTAAGGGACAGGTCATCGCTTCCAGGTCATTCAACATTGGACCATATGCAGTAACACTGAACATCTTCTTACTTTTCTGGGTGGACGTTGGAATTTTGTGTTTGAGCGTGAGCAGCAGGATCACCAGCCGGCAGTACATCCTGTCTATGGGACAATGTCAGCTTTCACTTTGGTGTCCCGCTAAGCAAGTGGTTCATAAATGATTCCCTTCAACCTACAGCCCTTACTTCAATCCAACAGAAGAATGTTTCTCTGCCTGATGGTAGAAGGTCCATGACCGAAACTCATTTACTACAGCAAATCCCTTACGGGCAATGGAATTGGCCTGTGGTGTGATAGGTGTGGAGTGGTGTTACAGTCAGGCTGCGTCCAGCACTTCTGAGGGGTTTCCTGCTTTGCTTGACGAGGGACAAGGTTGCATGTGATGAGGATGAACTCTCTTACTGTACTGACACTGATTTTGCAGTTGTACAACATTTTTGAGTGTAATGTGCTTTTCATTTATAGTTTTCTTTGTTCTTTTGGCTTATTGGCGTATTTGCATATACAGATATTCAATACTGTATTACTTGCAGTATTTGCAGTATACTATATATTTACTGTACTAAGTTGTGATTACAGTATTTTTGAAATTGGAAAATGTGTTTCCTCCAAGCAAAAACAATTTTTCTGTAACTACACGCCCTGGACGCCGTGTTCTCAGCTGTTTGCTGTGGTGTCTAAAGAATGCTCTGTAGTGTTTTACCTGTTGACTGACTTTGTGTTTTGAAAACATTGTTTGATTTTGAGCACAGATCAAATGGTTTTGAGGCAAGTGTTTGATTTTGCCAGAAGAGTCGGGGTTTTGTGAATGTAGTTTAAAGACTGCGTTTTGTGTTTAAGTTTTGAGAATATGGGTGACGGTTTCAAGAAATGTGTCTTAGCAATTGTGTACAACTGTAATTCTGTTTATTGCCCGACTCCCTGCTACTGTGAGCAGACTGAACTGAAGCTGCAGTAAATATACAGGATATATATACTTGAATGTTTTATACTAACAGGAAATTATTCAAACTGTGTCTTTAGAATGCCAGTGCCGATTAACTTTAACAAAAAGAAAAATTGTGTTTTTAAAGCATTTTTTGTTTGTTTGTTCGCCACCATTCATTTAAATGTGTTTTAAAAAATGTATGTAATGTAACTGCTTTGTTGGACAGTAGTATATAACAGCATAACAGCATACAACTTTACAAAATTTTCTCACGTTTTCTGTGTGAACATACAATAAACTTAAGAGGGGCCAGCATCACTTGCCTGGCCTGCCTTATAGAGGGGCTGTGGGTCAGAGCCTACATAGCCTACTGCGTATATTCCTAAATGTTATGAAGATTTTCTCATTTTGTGAAGTACTGGAACCTGACACTTTTTCTCTAAAGAGCAACTGTATCACCAGAAATGCTATGGTCTAAATTACAGACTGATAAGGCTGCGCGTCCTGTTTCCATCTTCCGTCCTGGACGGGTAGCCTGTACCTGCACACGATATCCATTAATATATCCACCACGGTAACAGCAGCCAGTAGGCGGTCAGTGACTGCACAGTCACTGTCGCATGGTGAAAGAGACATTACGATGACGAGGTGGTGCTATTGAAAATGAATGCTCTCTGACGTGTATGTATGTTTAAGTAGGCTAAAGTTTACTGGAGAGGTTAAGGTTCCTGTTAACAGTTCGACTTAGACCACTTATCGTGGTTAACGTTACTCGTTTCACTACGTTTTCCTGGAAAGAAGAACGTTTTTGGAGAGTAACGTTAGGCGATAACTTTTGTGAACTAAGACGATGGCGTGCATTTTTGGAAAAACAGAGGTTCCTTTACGGTCGTTTCACCAGATTTACAGAATTAAATAAAATGGTAAGTTTCATTTTTACATGATTTAGAATCAAGCATAACGTTAGTTGCGTTGGTAAATAGGCTTACTAACAGAATAACTGTGTTTACAAATAGGATTACCAAGTGCAAAATAAATATATGTTATAAAATATATTCATATATACAAGAGAAGACTAACCTAAAATATGTTTTGGCATAAAAATATATAGTTGTGCAGTTTTATTCCTTTTAGATAAAGGCGTCCATGTAAAAGTGCTACGGACGTCTTATTTTGAAGTTTTTCCTGCTCGCTGGGTGCATCCTTTGGAGACGCCATGTTGCCTCCAGCAGAGGGCGGCGTGTTCTAGGAAAGTCAACTCCACCCTACACCAATGCGGCTTGCTAGTCGGAAGTACAGTTTCCTTTCAGCGTACCTGTGTGGCTTTGCGCATATATGGACAAACGTGCCTAAAACAATGGGTAAGATGAAGGTCTGTTACGTGACGATATTGTTCTTGTAGCCCGAGGCACCATGCGAACCTGTCTGTGGCGGTAACTCCAGTGGGTCGCTCCACGGGGACTGAAGGCAGAGAGGACATATAGCCGGTAACATTAGCACATAACAACAGCTTACTGGCGAATAAATAAAGATAGTGTCGTCTTCAAATATTCAGTTTTGTTTGAATTGGGGGAGAGGAGTTGATAAAAGTCTGTAATAACTGCTGAGACTATATTTAGTTTCGTGGATGTTTGTTAGAGGGGTGTTTTTACTATTTTGTCCTGCATTAACATTAACTTAACAGTTAACGTTACTGTGACCAAAATATAGCACAGATCAGCGCTAAAGTTACTACTCCGCACCTCAAACGACAGCTTTAAAATTGCCATAGAGTTGAATGAATATTGTCTATTTAAAAACAGTAGCATTGTGCTGTCAGAGGCAGCATCACAGCTTTGTTAACGTTACATTTGGTTCCACTGCTGCTGTGTTTCTGTCCCATCAGAGACAGACACGGATATTTGGTCCTTAAATTGCCTTATTTCTGGTAACCAAAAGCTTGATAAGGCAGTGATTTCCTTTAGATTACTTAGTCACTTTAGATTATTTAATACATATTATCTAGTTATGACAATGAGTCATACCATAGTCACTTAGGCCAGATGAGCCTAGACTGCATCATCTGTATGTGTAATTTATTTGTGACATGCTGATGGTATTAGGCTGTACTTAATCTGAGATGTTATTAATCTACACTGTAAATACCTGTTCTTTTCCAGCATACAGTAGATGTAGATCCTGTACCACAGTTTACATTTAGACCACAGCAAAACAAGAACAAGAGGAGATTAGATATTTTGACAACAATGTCCTTGTATGCCCCGCGACCCGACCCTGGATAAGCGGATGAAGACGGACGGATGGATGTCCTTGCATGTGTTGACTCAGTCAAAGAAAGTGTTCAGATTCTGTACAGTAAAAGTTCTAATACCACACTGTAAAAGACTCTGTGGCCAGGAGAAATCCTGCATTTAAATGTTACTTCAGTAAATTTATCTTAAGAATAATCAGGAAAATGTAGTTAAAGTATTAAAGCAGTAAAATGTCTCTGTGACTGTCGCATTAATGTAAAGCAGGATTTACTGCTGGAGCTGGAGCTCAGCTTGTGAACTATTTGTATCTGAGAGCAACTCTGGATTAATCTATTGATTATTTTCTCCATCGATTGATTGATTGTTTGATTTGTAAAGATTCTGAAAATAGTGAGAAATGCCATCACAGTTATCCAGATCCCAAAGTAACACCTTTACAATGCTTATTGTGTCCAACCAACTGTCCAAAGCTCAACATTATTAACAAGCTTTACAGTTTCTACAGTCATTCAGAGGAAGAGGAGAAGCTGAACCATCAGATGTTTCTGCAGGAAAGATGACTTCAACCATCATAATAGTTCAAATGTTCTGGTAGTCGACTAATTGATTCATCGGCTAATCGTCCCTCTGAGATGTAACCTAAAACTCAAGTAACAAGTACTTCAAATTGTACTTTGAGTACTGTGCTTAAGTAAATGTATTTAGTTACAGTCCACCACTGAGTCAAAGTCACGGTTATTGCCAAGTAATTATTATTATTTCTTATTTTTTCAGATTTGCAGTTAATCATTGCTACATACAAGACTTGTGTGTTGCTTGGTGGTTGCTAAGACTATTTTTACACATTACGTTAAACTTAATATCTAGTTTCCTTTTTACTTTCAAAAGGATTATGAAAAACAATTACATAGGGCCAAGAGGAAAAGTTTTGAGATTTAGCCGACATGGTTGCTAAGGTGTTACTATTTGGTTTTTATGTGTTCATTAAATTTACGCATGAAATGTATCCATCTGACACAAATACTCATCAAATCAAAGTGAAGGTATGGACAAGCTACTTTACAATCCAGCCCCTGGACCATGTCTGTTCAATGAATTACTTTGGGTAGAAACAGTTCCTGAGCTTTTATTGGTGCATCTGTCAGGTCTAACTAAAATGTGTCACCATAAAACATGACGCATGGTTTTATTTTATTGTAGTAATCCAGTTGGCGGTGGGTTGTGATATAAAAAGTCTGTTTATGTTCATGTGCAAGTAAGAAACACACATGAAAAATGAAAGTTAGCTGCTTTTTATCATCAAATTTGGTGCCGGCCTGACCATTCGGGTGGAATTCAGTTTCAGTGTATTCGACGTGCACAGGAGGAGCTGGGGATCGAACCACTTATTAATGAATTGTTTAATGAGTCGTGGCCGCCCTCGTGATGAGTGTTAATCTGTCTCCTGTTTGTCCTTCACAGAGACCAGCAATAATGCCACAGCCCAGAATAATGCTGGTGGTGACGGGAGATGATTTTGGCTACTGTCCCAGGAGGAACCAGGGGATTGTGGACTGCTTCCAGGCTGGAGGCATTTCCAATGTGTCACTGCTGGTTAACGCCTCTGCTGCCAAAGAGGCAGCAGATCTGGCGAAAAGGTAGAGTTGGTGCTGATGTACTGTACAGGTGCATGTGAGCCCCAGGCCCCTGCCCCTGTGCACCTGGTTGCAATTGTTCTTGGACCTTGTGGCTCAGGGGGTAGAGCGGGTTGGCCTTAATCGGAAGGTTGGCGGTTCAATCCCTGGCTCCCCCAGGCTGCATGTTGAAGTGTCCTAGGGCAAGATACCCCGAATTGCCCCTGGCGGCTGTGTATATTAGTTTCCGTTTGAGCACTTAGGCTCTGTGTGTGACTGGTGAATGCAGATGTAGTGTAAAAGCACTTTGAGTGGTCGAAAAGACTAGAAAGGCGCTATACAAATACGGAGCATTTACGTTCATGCAAAAACCACTTGTACCAGTCCGTGTGGCTCGAGTGATTTATTAGAATTTTCTCACATTTAGAAATTTTTTCTTAGGCCCAAAAAAAGTTTTGGAGTCCAGACTTGTTTTAGGATTAGCATTTAGTCTGCTGCTACCCCAACCTGAGGTTTTCACTAATGGATTGTATATTTATTGCAATTTTGAGTTTGAAAGTCCTAATATAAATTACACACACAAGAATATCGAGTGGTTGTTGAGGCTTGAGGTTTTACAGTTGCTGCTGCTTCCAGTGTAAATGTGATAAAGAGCAGAATTACTTAATGGAACTTCAGTTATAAACGTTTTACAGAAGGTCCTCTTTTTTGTCAGGCACAACATCCCCATCGGCCTCCATGCCAACCTATCAGAGGGGATTCCAGTGTGTCAGAGCCTACAGCAGGCCTCCACACTGATCAACCAGCACGGCTTCTTCCACGGGAAGATGGGCTTCCGTCAGGCCCTGGAAAGAGGTCAGCTTAGCATGAAACAGGTACAGTCTCCAAAGGCCAGACTAGCTTGATCTCATTTAGTAATGTTGTATGCATGTATTAGTGAGCCCATAGACCTGTTAATAGTTTAAATGGACATGATTCATCCAGATGTGAGTGAAAAAAATAAATATATATATAATGTGTGTGTGTGTGTGTAATATATGTGTATGTTTATTTGTAAAGAAATCCAACAGAATTAATATAATAAATACAAAACCGTAAATTCAGGAGATTCTGCAAATACACCATAAACTGTCCATAGAGAAGAGGGGCAATATACATCTGTAAAACAAATTAAAAGGTTAAACTCTTCAGCAGTTAGTTTACCAAAAGGAAGAAAAGACAGAAGGTTGCAAAATGTCAAACCATAAGAATGAAAAAGCATGCACACATAAGTCATTTATAGAACCTGCAAACACTGACACAGGTCTGTCTGTTGAGACATCCCAAGTTAGTCTGTGGTTCACAAGCCTGTTCACAAAACATGGATATTTTGGTTCAGATGTGAACCCTTGACCACCCCAAGAATAAGAAATGATGATATATTTATTGTACACTTGCTGGTAATAACCTTAGTTCATTTTTTAGACATGTGGAGGTAGTGAGGTCTTGTTTATGTTGAGGAAGTTTGCATAAGAGCAGGATTGTCACATGATTACTGCTGTGTTGCATATTTTATTGAAGTTGAAGTCATGGACAGTATTTTGTTGACATACTGCTAGCTAACAAACAGCCGGCTCATTTAGCCAAGTCACTTTTGTTAATATTCAACTACCGAGAGAAGAAGAGGAAGTTGTGTTTCCCCATTACTGTAACCTCCAGTTGTGTTTTTTCCTTCCCAGGTGGAGCTGGAGCTGCGAGCCCAGGTCCGGCTGTTCAGGGAGCTGACAGGTCATCTGCCCCACCACATGGACGGACACCAACACGTCCATGTACTGCCAAGTAATGCAAAGTACCCCGCAAACTCTTAACTGCTATTGTACACTAAACCACAGATGACTCAACAAGCCACACATTTCTCAGTGACTAACATAAGTTGCAAATAAAATAACGGCAAAGTTTATTAGATATTTACATTTATTACGTAAATAACCTTACTCCAGTTGCAGGTTTTAAAAGTCACAGAGGACGAGATGGTAAAATGCAAGTTCTGGGTTTACCACAGGGTCTCCTCCCAGTTGAGCATGCCCAGAAAACCTCCAAAAGAAGGTGCCCAGGAGGCATCCTTATCAGATGCCCGAAACACCTCAGCTGACTACGTTCGATGCAAAAGAGCAGCAGCTCTACGTGGATTTCCCTCCAGATGTCAGAGCTCCTCATTCTGTCTCCCAGCCACAATACAGAGGAAGCTCATTTCAGCCGCTTGTATCTGCGATCTCATTGTTTCTGTCTCTACCCACAGCTGATGACCTTAGTTGAGGGTTGGAACATAGATCAACTTCACCACACTGGTCCGCTACAACGCCCGCATTACTACTGACACTGAACGCATCTGCCTGTCCGTCTCACACACTATTTTGTCATCACTCGTGAACAAGATCCCGAGATCAAAACCTTACACTCCGTCATGTGCCCAACCCTGAGGCAGCAATCCACCGATCTCCATCAGAAAATCATGGTCTCAGATTTGCTGACCCTCATCCCATCTGGGCCTGTTACGTTAATTACATTGTCAACTTATCGTACGATACATCAACATGACCTCGATATTTCTTATTGTGTTGACATGCGTTTTTGTTTACATGAGAATGAACGTCGCGACATTTGAGCCAGTCGTGCTGCTTCTCTCTCGTCTGCTCTCTGAGTCGGAGGCGGGGCTCAGGCAGCTCCTCCACACACAAGATAACGTGTTACGACTCTAAAAACCAAGTTTTATTTGGTGTGTTTCCTGAAGACTGTATAACTTCAGCCAGAAAGTTTGAAACGGCTAGATTCCACCGGGCACAGCTGCATCGCGTTCAGGCTGTGACCCGGCTGCTGGAGCTGATCACGGTCATTCTAGACAATACTTGTGATTCTAGCAGACTCGCTGCAGCGCGTGTTATAAGTTCCCAGAAGTGGCCCTCTGCTCTGCAGAGAATACAAGAAGTAAAGCTGAACAGAGCAGATGAACCAAGCAGGAAGTCAGACAGAAATAATAAAATATATATAAAACATCCTGTGCAGACTCTTACCCATGGTAGAAGCACAAAAATGAAGGACTTATTACCAAATCAATAAAACAAGTCAGCAAAATCAGGCAGGCAAAAATGCTCTGCTTTTGAAATGCTGCCTGTGGGATATGAAGCCATGCAAAGGATGGCAGAGAGCTGTGCCTCCCCTGGGATGTGCAAGAAATTCTGCCGGAGGTGGGAGTTGAAGATCCCACGCACAGGGGCCTCCACCAAACACTCCCATTATATTAAGTGTATTGTGCAAAATACAAACACCACCTGCTAGAGTTGGCCTCTGTCATCAAGTAAAAGGCTTCTTAGCCTTGTTGCAAGCAACAGCTGGAATACTATTTACCTACCGTGCTCATTCATTGAAACTAATACATTCACACACACAATTTGGGGTTCAGCATCTTGTCCAAATACCTTCTGATTAGTGGATTACCTGCTCTACCTCCTGAGTAATGTATGCTAGCTGCATAAAAAGGAGTTTGTGATCAACTTGTGTAAAATGTTACTGTTCAAAATTCACTATATTGTTGGAAAACAACACCATGTACTGTGCACACGTTCAAATTTACTACTAGTTTTGCATTCATAGTTTTCGATGAAGTAATGTCTATTAACCAATACAAGCCTGGGCTCAAAAGACAGGTGGGGTGAGAGTATTGATGTTGTTGTACGATGTGTTGCAGAGGTACGTGAGGTGTTTGCACAGGTCCTGTCTGATCTCAGGATTCCATATACTCGTGTTCCAGTGGAGCCAGGTCTACATGACTGCCCGTGGCTGCCAGCACACCTCCAAAGCTTCTACACACAGGTGGAGAAGGACGCTCTGGACTCCATCCCTGTCTTCGCACGCTATGGAATCAGGTCTGTCAGTGCGTGTGATTCATCTTTTGGTGTCAGTAGTCTGAAATAAGATTTAGAGGAGTCTCTGTATGTTAATCTAATGAAGTGGCACCTCAAACATACCTCAGACTAGCATACACAATGTTTTGTAGAGCCAGCTGAGGTCGATGAACAAAATGAGGACAGAATCTTAAACCTGTTTTTTGTTGATAGCTAATCTCACTGGTTGTGTTTTTTCCAGCTTAGGTGCAATTTATACTTCTTCGTCAAATCGACGCCGTAGCCTCTGCGTAGCCCCCTACCCTACGGCGTCACCTACGCCGTAGCCTGACGTGCACCTCCTCAAAAATGTAACTACACGTCTAGGCGACGTGGACCGTAAGCTTTGTGATTGGTCGGCTGGGTAGCCTCGCAGTGCTTCTGACCCGACAGGAAGTACCCGTGCTTTGAAGTAACTTTTACTATTGGCCAAAACAGCGGCTGTAAGACGGTGGATCTACATATTTGACCGTCACAACCCGAGCAAAATGAGGGCTAAACTGGAAGTTAGCCTGCTCGGCCGGTAAAGTCAACACAGTGGACGCTGTGGTGCTACTGACGACTAGCGTTTGGGGGTGTAATTGTAGAATGACGGACACACCTACACACAAGTAAATGAATGGCTATGGCGTAGCTACGCACATACACCTACATAGGAGTATAAATGGGCCAACAGTGACAGTGTGGCAATCAGCACACATTTATGTAATTACTTTTGTGTCCTTTATTTTGTCATTGTTCTTATTTACATTGTGGCCATCTTTTTAATCCCATGTTAAAGTTCTTCTCATGTGATTCCTTGTCTAAACCTACATAGAGTTCTGTATATCTACATGTGTAAATGCAAAAAGCAGAAGAAAAATTATTCAGAAGTAGTGTGAATTGCATTGTGGGGTAATATTGTCTGTCAGCATCACTCCCAAAGACACATTTAGTATGCACACACACATTTCAGATATGTTCTTATAAGTCATGCAAAGCAGAAACACGATGCTGCTGACAGAGTTTTTGACATGGTATTTTTATTAAAATATTCTGTACCGTGAAAATAACACTTATCTGCCTACACTTGTACTGTCCATGTCGCCGTTCACTTTGTGGCGACTCCCGGTCTGTTTTCCCGTTTTACATTCATAACAGTCCCAGCTCGTTATTGGTCCATGCAAAAAAATTTTTTTAAAAATCTGATCTGATTCTTCGTCTGTAGTACTACGGAAGAGACCACCTGCTTCACGTTTACACTGGCACACACATGCCCAGTTTACGTGTACGGCCACTAGATGTGCGTTTTCATTCGTTTTAATGTAGACAAAGATCAACTCTGATACGCAGCTAAAACGCTTCTGTGGATGGAGATCGTGTTCGTTTCAAACATAGCAGTGTGGATGGGGCCTGAGTGGATGTTTGTGTTACAGGGTCGTTACCAGTGTTACTCAGAAATTGTAATATATTACTAGTTACTTCCTTAAAAAATTATTCTAACTTTGGGCAGGTTTGTGCAGCGGTGTTCAGGAGAGAGAGAAAGAGCGAGCGAGGAGTAAGTAATATTATTATAGTACTGCCCAACACTGGATGTTGCACAGGAATTGTTCCTGACACTGTCTGACTGATGTTAACTGGTGGCCTTTGGGTAGAAACTGACTAATCAGACTTACAGTAAAGCACATTCAGCTCGTCTGCTGTCTCCTTTAGCTGGTGATGATGTGCCTCTCCAGACCGACGCAGGTGGTTTTAGCTTTTCAGATTATGCCCTCTGTTTGCTGTTCTCTGACCTCCTTTGTCAGCGTGTTTTAGGCTGGGATGTTTTTCACATAATACTGCCATGTGAAAGCAGGTTTTAATCACCACAGGCATAGTAATATTATAAATATGCTTCGCACCTACTCGGAATTCTCTTCTCCCCACACACGAGAGACCTACACCTCAGGTAAAAACACCGGCGTGCCCTGCCTCTCTGTCTCGCCCTTCCACTCCACTTTCTCCATCAGCAGTAGGCTACGTTTTATAAAGTCACTTAAAAGACAACGAACCCGTCTTTTTTCCGTTTTTTCCCACCCGTGATCCGTTATCACAGCAGCAGGTGAGCCGCAAAGTAGGCTTGTTAATAACGCAGCCTGTCAAACAACCGAAACCAACACCTGCACCCTGTGTTCACTGCTGCTTTACCTGCTGCGTACTTGTAAAATTTCCACCGCGAATTGTTTTTTAACCGAGTAAAGTCTGTGCAAGGTAACACATGCACATAAGACGACCGCTGTTTGATTAGTTTGGTGTGTACCGGATCTAAACCTTTTTGTTATGTTGGTGTGTGATTTATGAAACGGCAGCTGCTGTAGAGTCTGTCATGGTCTATGACAAACACTAGTCAGGGATTAAACCTTTTCCATGTCCACAGGTGGCCAGACATATACCTGGGACTGACCACCATGGGCCAGAACATGTCCGTCCCTAACATTCAGAGGGCCCTCAGCCATGCCTTGGCTGCGGGGCCTTCAGGGACTACCTCCAGCAGTGCATCAGACTCTAATCCGCCTGCGGTCACGGTAGAGCTCATGGTCCACCCGGGTTACCCCAGTCACCCCCAAGAAGGAGGCTGTGGAGACGGCCCCGATGACTTCTCCAAGTCAGCTGACAGACAGCATGAGCTGAGCGTACTCAGAGACCCGTCCCTGCTGGCCCTCTACAGCCAGGAGAGAGTGCAGCTCTGTGCCTTCAAAGATCTCTGAACATGACACACATGTATGTCACAAAAGTGCACCCCTCACATTGTTGTAAATATCTGATTCTATCTTCTCATGTGACTGAAGAAATGACACTGCTCCAATGTAAAGTAGTGAGCGTACAGCTTGTATAACAGTGTAAAGTAGTGAGCGTACAGCTTGTATAACAGTGTAAAGTAGTGAGCGTACAACTTGTATAACAGCGTAAAGTAGTGAGCGTACAACTTGTATAACAGGTTAAAGTAGTGAGCGTACAGCTTGTATAACAGTGTAAAGTAGTGAGCGTACAACTTGTATAACAGCTTAAAGTAGTGAGCGTACAGCTTGTATAACAGTGTAAAGTAGTGAGCGTACAACTTGTATAACAGCATAAAGTAGTGAGCGTACAACTTGTATAACAGCGTAAAGTAGTGAGCGTACAACTTGTATAACAGCGTAAAGTAGTGAGCGTAAAACTTGTATAACAGCGTAAAGTAGTGAGCGTACAACTTGTATAACAGCGTAAAGTAGTGAGCGTACAACTTGTATAACAGCTTAAAGTAGTGAGCGTACAGCTTGTATAACAGCGTAAAGTAGTGAGCGTGCAGCTTGTATAACAGTGTAAAGTAGTGAGCGTACAGCTTGTATAACAGCTTAAAGTAGTGAGCGTACAGCTTGTATAACAGCTTAAAGTAGTGAGCGTACAGCTTGTATAACAGCGTAAAGTAGTGAGCGTACAGCTTGTATAACAGTGTAAAGTAGTGAGCGTACAGCTTGTATAACAGCGTAAAGTAGTGAGCGTACAACTTGTATAACAGCGTAAAGTAGTGAGCGTACAGCTTGTATAACAGCGTAAAGTAGTGAGCGTACAACTTGTATAACAGCGTAAAGTAGTGAGCGTACAGCGTGTATAACAGCGTAAAGTAGTGAGGGTACAACTTGTATAACAGCGTAAAGTAGTGAGCGTACAGCTTGTATAACAGCGTAAAGTAGTGAGGGTACAGCTTGTATAACAGCGTAAAGTAGTGAGGGTGCAGCTTGTATAACAGCGTAAAGTAGTGAGGGTGCAGCTTGTATAACAGCGTAAGGTAGTGAGCGTACAGCTTGTATAACAGCGTAAAGTAGTGAGGGTGCAGCTTGTATAACAGCGTAAAGTAGTGAGGGTGCAGCTTGTATAACAGCGTAAAGTAGTGAGGGTACAGCTTGTATAACAGCGTAAAGTAGTGAGGGTGCAGCTTGTATAACAGCGTAAGGTAGTGAGCGTACAGCTTGTATAACAGCGTAAAGTAGTGAGGGTGCAGCTTGTATAACAGCGTAAAGTAGTGAGGGTGCAGCTTGTATAACAGCGTAAAGTAGTGAGGGTGCAGCTTGTATAACAGCGTAAGGTAGTGAGCGTACAGCTTGTATAACAGCGTAAAGTAGTGAGGGTGCAGCTTGTATAACAGCGTAAAGTAGTGAGGGTGCAGCTTGTATAACAGCGTAAAGTAGTGAGGGTGCAGCTTGTATAACAGCGTAAAGTAGTGAGGGTGCAGCTTGTATAACAGTGTAAAGTAGTGAGGGTGCAGCTTGTATAACAGTGTAAAGTAGTGAGTGTACAGCTTGTATAACAGCGTAAAGTAGTGAGGGTGCAGCTTGTATAACAGCGTAAAGTAGTGAGGGTACAACTTGTAAAGTAGTGAGCGTGCAGCTTGTATAACAGTGTAAAGTAGTGAGGGTGCAGCTTGTATAACAGCGTAAAGTAGTGAGGGTGCAGCTTGTATAACAGCGTAAAGTAGTGAGGGTACAACTTGTAAAGTAGTGAGGGTACAGCTTGTATAACAGCGTAAAGTAGTGAGGGTACAACTTGTATAACAGTTTAAAGTAGTGAGGGTACAACTTGTATAACAGTGTAAAGTAGTGAGCGTACAGCTTGTATAACAGTGTAAAGTAGTGAGCGTACAGCTTGTATAACAGCGTAAAGTAGTGAGCGTACAGCTTGTATAACAGCGTAAAGTAGTGAGCGTACAGCTTGTATAACAGCGTAAAGTAGTGAGTGTACAGCTTGTATAACAGCGTAAAGTAGTGAGTGTACAGCTTGTATAACAGCGTAAAGTAGTGAG